AGCCACAACTACTGAGCCTGCAATCTAGAGCCCGCGAGCCACAACTACTGAAGCCCGCGTGCTTAGAGCCCGTGCTCCACAACAAGAGAAGCCACTGCAATGAGAAGCCCGCGCACCGCAACGAAGAGTAGCCCCCGCTCACCGCAACTAAAGAAAGCCCGCGTGCAGCAAAGAAGACCCAACACAGCCAAAAATAAATAAAAAATAAACAAAATAAATAAATCAAAAAAAATAACAGCGAAAGCATCTAGGCCAAACCAGAGCTACTGAAACAAAGAGCTGAATGCACATGACGGACAAGACAACCCACTAACGACTTCCCCAACCCCGTCCACTGGGGAAAGGCAGTTCTGTACAGCTGAGCTACCCGGACCACTGAAACCTCAGGAACGCGACGATTTTAAACACGTGAGACTCTCAAGGAAATGACGAACCTCTCTGCCTGCTTCACCAAGAGTGCTGGGTGTGGGATGACCTTGTCTTGGTGGCCTGCGGCCATCATGATGCAGAACAAGTGCGCTGTGCTGTGACACAGCTGTGACCTCAGGGCTCTGTCCCTGATATCAGGGTCAGCCTGCCAGGGCCCGGCACGTCCTCTGGTTTTTATTACCTCCTTTCTACTTTTGCTATATCCACTCTCACACTTGTTTTGGCGCATGGGGTCCTCCAGGAATCAGTCCTGCTGCTGAGACCCAGGCCCCAGCCAGAACACTGAGGCCTTCCCCTTGGATGGGAAGCCTCGGGCACCGGAGGAGAGTTGACCATTGGGCAGAGCTGCCCTCAGCCCTGGGCAGGGAAGGTCCAGGCTGGAGGAGAGCCCACATGTCCTGGCCTGGACAAGGCAGGGACAGAAGCGATGGAGTTCTCCTCTGTGGGCAGAACATGTAGCACCTTCATTGAAACGATGGAAAAAAAAAAAAAGGGACTTCCCTTGTGGTCCAGTGGTTAAGATTCTGCGCTCCCAATGCAGGGGGCGTGGGTTCGATCCCTGGTCGGAGAACTGAGATCCCACATGCCACGCTAACAAGAGGTGACGGGGACTCCTGGATCCCATCCACTCGGAGCACCACGGCATTGCCTCTGCCAGTCATGCCAACCTGGGGACCCCGATGGGGTAGTTAAACTGTAACAGACTTGCTTCCCTGGGTCCAGAACCAAGATTCTAACACCATCTCCATGAACGCCTCCGAACGGCCGCCTGGACGCACAGGTCCATCTGGTAGGGTCGGGTGAGGGGGGAGCGAGTGGCTGCAGGGGATGGACTTGACGTGTATGTGCGTGGTGAATGCTGCTCACAATTTAGCCCCTGGGCTTTGTGACTTTGTACAGATAATGAAGTTCCTGCCCTTATGGGCACACCGGGAGGACTTTGACATTCGCTGCCCTTGTGTAACGGGATGGAGATGCAGGTGTTTCTGGTTCCTGGGACAGCTGCCCTGCCCCCGCCACATCGGTCACCCACTCCTAGAGGTAACCGTCCTCTGTCTCCTGGTGCCATCGTGCAGCTGGCCTGACCTTGGAATTCCGAGAGTGTTTGCTCCTGGGTCCGGCTTCCTCCGCTCACCAGCGTGCACAGGAGTCTCCCGTGCGCTGTAGCCCCCGCGGCGGGGGGTTTGCCGTGTGCTGTACCTTGGTCACCCACTCTACTGTGGACTGACTTTCGGGTTCTTTCACTGTTTATGAGCAATGCCGCTGTGAACACTCTTATGAGTACAGACGCTTTGTCCCTGGCAGTCCAACCCGGCCAAGGGGAGCTGCGTCCAGGGGACGCTACCAGACTCTTTCCCCCAAGGGGCCGTTCTAACCTGCACCCCCATCCCAGGGGCGGAAGTGCCAGGGGCTGCACACTCACCAACAGGTGGGCTTCTGAGCCCTTTCACCTTTGCCATCCAGGGGGAAGTGGTTTCATCTGCATTTTCCTGACGACTAAAGATGCTGAGCACATTTTCATATAGTTATGGGTCATTTTGTTTAAGTCTCTTCCTCGATACAAATCAGCTTGCCAATCACCGTCTTAGTGATTTGTAGGAGTCCCTTATATATTCTGTCCATGAGTCCTCCAGTGGGAGGAGCATCGTTGCAAATACCTTTTCCCTCCTTGTGAATTGCCTTTTCACTCTCTGAAGGCTCCCTTTTGATGAAAAGAAGCTCTTTTTCTTTTTTTTAATATCTTTATTGGAGTATAATTGCTTTACAATGGTGTGTTAGTTTCTGCTGTATCACAAAGTGAATCAGTTACACATATACATATGTTCCCATATCTCTTCCCTCTTGCGTCTCCCTCCCTCCCACCCTGCCCATCCCACCCCTCTAGGTGGTCAGAAAGCACCGAGCTGATTTCCCTGTGCTATGCGGCTGCTTCCCACTAGCTATCTATTTTACGTTTGGTAGTGTATATATGTCCATGCCTCTCTCTCACTTTGTCACAGCTTACCCTTCCCCCTCCCCGTGTCCTCAAGTCCGTTCTCTAGTAGGTCTGTGTCTTTATTCCTGTCTTGCCCATAGGTTCTTCATGACCTTTTTTTTTTTAGATTCCATATATATGTGTTAGCATACGGTATTTGTTTTTCTCTTTCTGACTTATTTCACTCTGTATGACAGACTCTAGGTCCATCCACCTCGCTACAAATAACACAATTTCGTTTCTTTTTATGGCTGAGTAATATTAAAAGAAGCTCTTAATTTCACTGAAATCCAGTTTCTTTTCTTTTTTTGTGGTTAGTGCTTCACTGTCCTTTTTTTTCCTATTTCTATATTTTTTAAAAATTTATTTTATTGAAGTATAGTTGATTTACAATGTCGTATAATTTCTGCTGTACAGCAAAGTGGTTCAGTTATACATATATATGCATTCCTTTTTATATTCTTTTCCATTATGGTTTATCACAGGATATTGAATATAGTTCCTTATGCTATACAGTAGGACCTTATTGTTTCACTGTCCTTTTTAAGAAATCTTTGCCTAACCAAGATGATTCTCTTTTATTTTTAAAGAAGATTTTATTGGTTTACCTTTTACATCTCAGTTTTGTTTTGTTTTGTATGATGTGAGCTGGAGTCAAGATTCATTTTTCTCCATTTGGGTATTCATCTGACCCAAAAGTCTGCATTTATTAATTCTTAATTTAAAATTTTTTTATTGATAATGGCCTGTTTGTGCCTTCAAACGGTGGAAGAGTAAGACGTGGAGATCACCCTCCTCCCCACAAATACGTCCAAACTACATCTACGTGTGGAACAACTCCTACAGAACACCTACTGAACGCTGGCAGAAGACCTCAGGCTTCCCAAAAGACGCCCTCAGGTGACCTACATGCAGAGGCGGGGCCGATACAAAGCTGAACCCCGGGAGCTGTGCGAACAGAGAAGAGAAAGGGAAATCTCTCCCAGCAGCCTCAGGAGCAGCGGATTAAAGCTCCACAATCAACTTGATGTACCTGCATCTGTGGAATACCTGAACAGACAACAAATCATCCCAAAATTGAGGGGGTGGACTTTGGGAGCAACTGTACACTTGGGGTTTGCTTTCTGCATCTAATTTGTTTCTGGTTTTATGTTTATCTTAGTTTAGTATTTAGAGCTTATTATCATTGGTAGATTTGTTTATTCATTTGGTTGCTGTCTTCCTTCTTTTTTAATATATGTAGATATATATATATATATTTTTTCCTTTTTCTCCTCTTGTTAGTGTGTATGTGTATGTGTTTCTTTGTGTGATTTTGTCTGTATAGCTTTGCTTTTGCCATTTGTCCTAGGGTTCTGACTGTCCATCTTTTGTGTTTTGTTTTTTGGGTTTTTTTAGTATAGTTTTTAGCGCTTGTTAGCATTGGAGGATTTGGTTTTTGGTTTGTTTGCTCTCTTCTTTCTTTCTCTCTTTCTTTTTTTTTTAATTACTTTTTTATTTTTAATAATTTTTTTCTATTTTAATAACTTTATTTTATTCATTTATTTATTTTTCTTTCTTTTTCTCCCTTTTCTTCTGAGCCGTGTGGCTGACAGTGTCTTGGTGCTCCGGCCGGGTGTCAGGCCTGAGCCTCTGAGGTGGGAGAGCCAAGTTCAGGACATTGGTCCACAAGAGACCTCCAGGCTCCATGTAATATCAAACAGTGAAAGCTCTCCCAGAGAACTCCATCTCAAGGCTAAAACCCAGCTCCACTCAACGACCAGCAAGCTACAGTGCTGGACACCCTAGGCCAAACAACTAGCAAGACAGGAACGCAACCCCACCCATTAACAGAGAGGCTGCCTAAAATCATACTAAGTTCAGAGACACCCCAAAACACACGAATGGACGTGGTCCTGCCCACCAGAAAGACAAGATCCAGTCTCATCCACCAGAATACAGGCACCAGTCCCCTCCACCAGGAATCCTACACAACCCACTGAACCAACCTTACCCACTGGGAGCAGACACCAAAAAACAACGGGAGCTATGAACCTGCAGCCTGTGAAATGGAGACCACAAACACAGTAAGTTAAGCAAAATGAGAAGACAGAGAAATACATAGCAGATGAAGGAGCAAAGTAAAAACCCACCAGACCAAACAAATGAAAAAGAAATAGGCAGTCTACCTGAAAAAGAATTCAGAGTAATGATAGTAAAGATGATCCAAACTCTTGGAAATAGAATGGGGAAACTACAGAGACATTTAACAAGGAACTAGAAGAACTAAAGAGCAAACAAACAATGATGAACAACACAATAAATGAAATTAAAAATTCTCTAGAAGAAATCAATAGCAGAATAACTGAGGCAGAAAAAATGAATAAGTGATCTGGAAGATAAAATAGTGGAAATAACGACTGCAGAGCAGAATAAAGAAAAAAGAATGAAAAGAATTGAGGACAATCTCAGCGATTGTGGCGCGCGGGTTCCAGAGCACGTAGGCTCTGTGGTTTGCGGCACACGGGCTCTAGTTGAGGCGCGCAAGCTCAGTAGGTGTGGCACGCAGGCTTAGTCGCCCCGCAGCATGCGGGATCATAGTTCCTTGACCAGGAATGGAACCTGTGTCCCCTGCATTGCAAGGCAGGTTCTTCACCACTAGACCACCAGTGAAGTCCCCAGCCTCCCATGTTCTTAGCTGAACCTGCCATATTCTCATCCTCGTCTTTGCATCAAGTTCATCAAGCAACGGGTGTTGAGAACAACCTAGGTGCTGGGCCAGAAAGCAGAGCCAGGCAGGAGCTACACACCACGAGGAGCCCTGGACCTCAGTGGGAAGGTGCAGCCTGGGGAAGCGGACGAGGCCCACGCTCTTGCCTCTAAGTGGAACTCTGCCACCCATCAGACATGCCACCGTCTGTGAGGCACCCCTCTCCAGGGACTTTTGCAAGTTCCTTTATTGTCAAGTAACCTATGGCAGGCAGCCTCTGAGATGCACCCCTGGCTGTTGGTAGCCCCTGTGTAGCCCCCTCCCGTGTTGAAAGGTGCTGACTTGTGTAACCAATGGAATAGCTCAGAAGTGGGGGAGCAGGACTTGCGAGGTTCGGCATGAAGGACGTCGTGTGTCTGGGATCACCCACCGTGGGGGCCGCCGTGTTGTGTGGATGTTCCAGCAGCCTGTGGAGAGGCCCACGTGGTGAGCAGCTGAGGCCTCCAGCCAACAGCCGGCACCAGTTGCCAAATACATGAGGAGCTGCCTTGGGAGAAAGTCCTCCAGCCTCGGCCGAGCCTTCGGGTGATGCCGCCTTAGCCAACGCCTTGCCTGCAACACCACGAGAGACGCTGAGCCAGGACCCCCGGCTAAGCCGCCTCTGGGTGCCTAAACCTCAGAAACTGCATGAGATGATGTTTATTGTTGGTTTAAGCCACTCAGTTTAGGGGTCACTCATAACGTGGCGACAGATAATACATAACCCTGGGGATGACTTGATGACCCATGAGTGGGTCGCAACCCAAAGTCCTTGAAAGCACTGGTGGAAAGCTTGCCTCTGGCCCGGCCCTGCTTCAAGACACAGGCTTTCTAGTTATTTAACAAGTAGAGCAAGAGGAGATGAAGCTCTAGGGGAGGTGGTAATGAGCACAGACTCTGGCGCCAGAGGGAGTTTGAGGTCCAGCTCCGCAACGTATCAGCATGGAACCCTGGGCAGGTCCCACGGTCCATCTGTGCCTCGGTTTCACCACCTATAAAATGGGGGTGATGACGATAGTATTTAGTAGCTGGGTTATTGTGAGGGTCAGAGAGTATATGTAAGGTTCTCACAGCGGTGGTGGGTGCACAGTAGAAGCTGGAAGAGTCAGCTGCTGACACGGGGCAGACGGCGTTCTGGGGCTGCGGATACATCTGGGAACAAAATAATCAGAAATTTACCCTCACTGATCTTGTGTTCTTGGGGGGGAGACAGATGAGCAAGATAAATTGGTAACTTATAATCTGTAACTGGAGAGTAGGGTCTATGAAGAAAAGCCAAGCAGAGTCCTGGGATGCGTGTGTGAGGAAGGCTTCCCTGTGAAGGTGATATTTAAGCCACGCTAGGAGGTTGTTGAGGGACCAGACGGATGCCAAGGGGAAGAGTGTTCCAGGCAAAGGAAACAGCCTGTGCAAAAGCCCTGCGGTGGAAGAGTCCTGGGGCCTTGGAGGGCCAGCGAGGCGGCCGGCATGGCTGTCGCTGGGCAAATGTGGGAGAAGGAGCGAGGCAAACCTTAGGTTCTGGAAATGACGTTGATGTTTATTGTGAGTGACAGGAGGCCTTGAGGAGTTCCGAGCAGAGCGGTGACATGCTCTGACTCTCACACCTTAACAGGACAAGTCTGACTGTTGTGCTGTGCTAAGAACAGGCTGGGGCCGAGAGGCCAGAGGCCACGAAACCAGTGCTGGGGCTCCTCTTGCTGTCGAGACAGGGCGGGGCTGGGACAGGCTCAGCACAGAGACGGTAGGGAGTGGTCGGATGCCGGATGCCTTCTGCAGGAGAGCCTGCAGGAGTACAGGCCGGTTGGGTGAGAGAGGGATAATTCCACGTGCGGGTCTGGACTTGCCATCACCTGAGAGCAACTTCTGGGGGAGACGTGGGAGTTGCTGATCCGTGAAGTTTTGAGAAGGCTTTAAGACCCTAACCAGGTGAGCTTCCCTGGTTACCTGCCTCTCACCGAGAGCTCTCTTCACATCCCTGTTTGTCCAGGTGAGTGAGCTGGCCCTACACCAATCTCCAAGGCCTGCCTGTATTCCCAGGACAAGGAACTGGCAGCATGAGCAGGTCTGTGTGTGGGTCACCGGTGGACAGCCACACGTGGGGCCCTGAATTTCTGGCGCCCACTGAAGCCGTCCCGTCCCTGCCTCCTAATCACGTCTGCCCACGTGACACTCCAGGGCATGCTTTCGACATCTTTCCCAGTAGATGTGGAGATCTGAGTCTGGTGAGGGGCAGAGTGTGGCTGTGCAGTGTGAGAACGACCTGCCCCTTCTAGAAAGGAAGCGTGCGGGGTGGACTTACATCTTGATTTTGCTCATTGTATTCAACTCAGCCTCTCACCCAGAGAACCTGGCTGGGCCACTGCCTGGCCTGCCTTCTCATGATCGAAACAACACCCACATCCAGGTAGGAGAGCGCCAAGAACTGGAGGAACACCCCGAGGCCTCTGTCCCTCCTGGGATAGCTCTCCCTGAAGATAGCAGTGAAGCCAAGCCCATCGCCGTGGGCAGCGCATCTCCGGTGTGGACCATCCTTTCCCCCCACCACCTACGCCAACCTCACCATGCACAAAGGTGGAGCTCCGGGCTCCCCAGTGCTTGCCCGGAGAGGGGGCACCGGGTTTCATCCACATGCAGAGGAGGTGAGGGAGGGCAGATAAACCTACCCTATGGCACGGGGCGCCCTGCCTCACTGTGTTAGCTGAGCACGCGGAACAAAACAGGTCAAAGCGCAGCCCAGCTCCAAGACGCTAACACGCGAACGAAACTTGGCAAACTGAGGGGCAGATCCAAGGTTCAAACCCAGAGCTGTCCCAGGAAATCTGGCTGAGGAACCTCACACAAGGCAAGAAGACAATCATCGCCCTTAGTTTTCAAACAAGGACAACAAAGCACAGAGAGGGAAATTGCCTGGCCGTGGTCACACAGCTGTTGAATAGGGAAGCCAGGGTCTGCGCTCACAGCCACCACCCTCCAGCCTCCTTAAAACGAATTCACACCGTGACTGGGAGGAAACGGCGGGGCCCACCGTACTCAGCGCCATCCCGTGGGAGTTCACTGCTCCGGCCTTGGTACTCAAACCACTTGTGTGGCTGGTGACAATACAAACACCTGGGACCCCCTTTGGCCCATGAGCTCCACGGGCAGGGGTGGGGCACCAGCATTGGAAAATCACGGCTCTTAAGTCGGCCCAGGTGGGCCCCAAGCTCCGATCCCCTCCTGGCTGTTCAGGAGGCCGCCTGTCTTTGCTCAACCAGCTGTAGACTGAGCAGGGGAGGCATTGCCCTGCACTGGCCCTCCCTGCCTAGGGAGCGGGGCCCCCAGCACACTCCAGTCCTCGGTTCCTCCAGGTGTGAAGCAAGCCTAGCACCGCCATCTTTGTGGCTTCTCCGCTCTCTTGTGGGGGGCAGGCGGCCAGACTGGAATTTCTTCCTTTGGCAAACGGAATGGATTCTCACACCCAGCACAAGAGTGGCCCCAACAGAGGGCCAACGGTGGGGAAAGTGTGGAGCCCTCCCCTGAATCCCGTGATCGGTACCCAAAGCTCTGAGGCAGGACCCAAGCATCTGACCCAAAGTTCCCCGGGCATCGCCTCTACACACCAGAAATCGAGCCCTTGTCTATGTCCAGGCCCCACTGGGAGACAAACCACAAAGAAGTCTGAACAGGGAAAGTTTAAAACAGGCACATCTACTTCGTCGTGCTTCGCAGATAATCACGCTTTTTACAGACTGAAGGTTTCTGGTGACCCTGCATCCAGCAAGTCTACCGGTGCCACTTTTCCAATAGCATTTGCTCACTTTGCGTCTCTGTGTCACATCCTGGCATTTCTGGCAGTACTTCAAACTTTTCTTTCTGTTTGTTAACGGTGATCTGTGATCAGTGACCTGGGATGTTACCATGGTCACCGTTTTGGCATTTTTTAGCAATAAAGCTTTTTAGAATCAAGGTGTATACACTGTCTTTTAAGACAATGCTATTTCATACTTAGAAGAGTACAGAATCGTGTAAACCCAACTTTTCTCCGCGCTGGGAAGCCAAAACACTTGTGTGATTCGCTTTATTGTGATAATCGCTTTATTGGGGAGGTCTGGAACCAAACCTGCAATACGTCCCAGATACACCTGAATAAAGAATTATTAACTCGACTAGGGCATAACGTCTAAAGAGAGCTGTCGAGAATACCTGTGGGGACTTCCCTGGTGGCGCAGTCGTTAAGAGTCCACCTGCCAATGCAGGGGACATGGGTTTGAGCCCTGGTCCGGGAAGATCCCACGTGTCACGGAGCAACTAAGCCCGTGCGCCACAACTACCGAGCCTGCGCTCTAGAGCCCACAAGCCACCACTACTGAAGCCCGTGCGCCTAGAACCCGTGCTCCGCAACAAGAGAAGCCACTGCGGTGAGAAGCCCGTGCACTGCAATGAAGAGTAGCCCCCACTCGCCGCAACTAGAGAAAGCCTGCGCGCAGCAATGAAGACCCAACACAGCCAAAGATAAGTAAGTAAATTAAAAAAAAAAAAAAACCAGAATACCTACGGGTCAAGGAGTGTGCCCAAGGTAAGAAAACACGTGAAGGGTGTCCCGTCCCCGAGGCTGGGGTTCAGGTCTCCTTGGGGAAGGCTTGGGTGAGGCCCCCGGATGGTGTGGCCAAGTTCTCTGGGTTGCCTGAGCCAAGTCTGTACAAGAGCCAGAACCAGAAGATGCCCCTACTCATGCTGCATCCCTTAGCGCCCTCTACAGACAAATGTAACGAGGTGCACGGGCGAAGGAGAGAAGTCTGAAGGGCACAGCTCACTACCGCAGAGCAGGTGATGCAGGGCTGCACCTGGGGCTGAGAGGCCGTCAATTGATAACTGCCACAGCTTACGTGTCCACTTCTACTTTATTTAGCAAGAGTAAGGGCAGGACTGACCACGGGGGCTGGAAGACATCCCGTTCAGTGTCGGACTCCTGCTGTCTGGGCAGCGGGCGGCTCAGACCCCAGAGAAGAAACAGCGTCATCTGCGAGCCAGCCAGGTCATCCTCCCACCCTGGGGACACTGCACGGAGAAAGCTGGTCACTTCTGCTGGCGAGAAGGCAGTCGGGGTAAGCCCCCGGAATTCCACTCAGGACAAGTGCCGGGCTGTTTGCATCTTACAGGTGAGGACGCAGAGGCTCCTGGAGTGCGGCGCAGAGATCCTGCTGCCCCAGCGGACCTGACTCCAGCTCTCCTCCCTGCCCCGCTGGGGGCTCCTCCCGGGGCGGCCCTTTAGAAGATTCCGGGCAGCAGGCGGTAAGGCACGGCGGCCGTGTAGCGCTCCCAGTCGCGGCCGTACTTGTTAGCGCAGCGGTGCTCGTCCCGCAGGCAGCGGTGGGTAAGCAGGATGGCCATGTAGATGATGTAGAAGTAGGGCAGGAGGTGGCCGCCGCCGCAGGCCAGGCAGTACGCCAGGCTGCCCATCAGGTCGCCGGTGTAGTTGAAGTGGCGGGCCACGCCCCAGAAGCCGGACACCAGCAGCTTGCTGTGGTGCTTCTGCTCGTCGGCCGACGTGAAGGAGCACTCGATGACCCTGGGCTTCCTGCCCCAGATCAGGCAGCGCCCGTCCGTGCGGCGGAAAAGGTCCTTCTGATGGTTGGCCATCCGGAAGATGTAGTAGCCCAGCAGGCCCAGCAGCAGGACGCCCAGGGAGTAGCGGGTGGGCAGCTGCACGGGGTGGTACACCAGGTACAGACCCTGCAGGGCGAGCGGGAGAGGTCAGCGGGCTGAGCGGGACAGCAGGCTCGGGAGCACGGCCTGGGTTCAAAGCCCTGCTGCGCACCTGACCGGCTGCCCCCGTGCCCTGCCTCGGTTTCCTCTCCTGTAAATAGAAGCACCCGCCCCGGAGGGTTGCCGTGGGATCAGACAGGTAACTATGCAAATCTGCACGTCCACCTACCTACCCACCTAGCTGCCTTCCTATCTATCTGTCTATCTACACGTACATACATACACATGTGTATCATATATAGTATACATATTATATAACAATATTACAAGCATTATTTGAATATAATATTGTGATGGTTAATTTAATGTGTCACATTGGCTAGGCCACGGGACCCAGACACTTGGTCAAACGTTAGTTGTTACGAAGGTTTTTTGTTTTTTGTTTTTTTTGCGGTACGCGGGCCTCTCACCGCTGTGGCCTCTCCCGTTGCGGAGCACAGGCTCTGGACGCGCAGGCTCAGCGGCCACGGCTCACGGGCCCAGCCGCTCCGCGGCATGTGGGATCCTCCCGGACCGGGGCACGAACCCGCATCCCCTGCATCGGCAGGCAGACTCCCAACCACTGCGCCACCAGGCAAGCCCCGCGAAGGTATGTTTTAGATGGGATTAATGTTTCCAATTAGACTGAATGAAGCGGACCACCCTCCGCAATGCAGGTGGGCCTCGTCTAATCGGCGGAAGGCCCTAAGAATGAAAGAATCCCTGGAATAAGAGCGAATTCCACCAGCGGACGGCCTGCAGACCCAGCTGCAGTACCAACTCTTCCCTGGACCTCCAGCCTGCTGGCTGCCCTGAAGATTCTGCACTTGAACGCACCAGAGTCACATAATCAAATAAACACACATACACGTGTGTGTGTGTGTGTGTGTGTGTGTGTGTGTGTGTGTGTGTGAGCTACTGCTAATGCTTTGCGTGCTTGGAAAATGGTGTTCACAAAATCAGGGAACCAGTGAGCCTGCAACCAGCTAAGCAGAGGAATGAGTCCAGAGGGTCCGTCCAGAGGATCCAGCGTGGGGACCAGAGTCCAGAACTTGTGGCCCCCAGCCCAGGGCTCTCTCCCCTCAGGCCTGCTCACTCTGCTGTGATTTTCCTCCTCTCCCAGTGATCCTGTTTCACGCTGCTGCACAGGGTAGTCAGCCAGGTACCACGGGCCCCGTCATCATCGCCTGCAGGACTGGCTGCAACCACTCACCACCTGCCCGCGCACATCCGGGCCAGCCGACAAGGTCTGTTAGCATTGGTCCTCTCCACTCCTGCACGTCCTGTTTAAGGCAGGCCACCGCTAACCACTCAAGTGCCCTAGAACCTGCTCTTTCCCCACCGCCACACCTCTTCATACCTGCTCACAGAACGGGCAGGTGGGCATCTGGCCAGGCCTCTGAAGCAGCCACCCTACACAGGAGCCCGCGTGCCATGCAGAGGAAAGCAGGGCTGTCCTCTGTGAGCTGGGAGGGGTGCGGGGGGGGTTCACGATGAGGCCTCTCCCCTATTCCCCAGCAGCCTCAGAACACGGCGGGTGCAGGAACGCGGATGCCCAGCCCTAACAGAGGTGATGTCCGCCCTACTTTTTCAGAGATGCTCAGGGACGAGTTCAAGGCCCCCTCCCGCGGCTGGCAGCCCTACAGAGGTGCAAACCCAGGTCCCTCAGGCTCCCCAGTCAGGCTTTCTACCCTCGGCTCTGCAGCGTGTGCTGAGGCTCTCCTGGGGACCCGGCCTGATTCATTACTCGTGGGAACTCTTCCCGGAGCCTGTGCCCCCCAACCCCCAGCATCCTCTTCTCGCCTGGAACACTCCCCTCTTGTAGGCCTCCCACCCGGTGCTGGCCTCTGATCCTCCAGCCTCCAACTGGGCAAGGCTTCCTGCCACCCCCACGTCCTGTGTCCCAGCCACGCTGAACTGTCTTGTGCCTTAAATGTCCCCCTCGGCCCTCCCCCCCACCCTGATGTATTCCCCACTCCGCCTTTCTGGAATGTTCTTACCCTCAGACTCATCATTCTACTCTCAGCCTGGCTCTGACCCCCACCTGCTGGCTGGGGGCTCCTCCTTGGCCCTCTCTCAGGGGTCAGCACCCCACTTCCTGTCCAGCTCTCCCTCCCCGCACTGGACTGCCTGTGTCAGGAACTTTCCCTCCCAGCTGTGAGCTCCGAGAGCGCAGGGCCCCCTGCATCTCCTCCACTCTTGCGTGTACATACTCAAAGCTTAAATGCAAATGACGGAAGGAAAGAAGGCCTCTCATCCTTTCAGCCTTGAGATTTGAACACACATGAATACAAATACCCACCTCCATCCACCCAGATCCCCCAAAGCATTACTTTTGACCCAAAGTTTACTCCGTATCATCTTCTTCTCTCAGTCTATGGGCTGAGCTGTGTCCCCCAGTCCTGACACCCAGCATCCCAGAATGTGACTGTCTTTGGAGTTGCCTGTCTTTCTTTCAAGAGGTGAGGAAGGTAAAATGTGGCCACTAGGGTGGGTCCTGATCCCACAGGACTGGTGTTCTTATAAGAGGAGGTCAGGACACAGACACACACAGAGGGACGATCCTGTGAGGACACAGGGAGGAGACGGCCGTCTACACGCCGAGGAGAGAGGCCTCAGGAGGACCAGCCCTGCCCACACCTGGGTCTCGGATTCCAGCCTCCAGACGGGGAGACAATGAACCCTGTTGTTTAAGCCGCCTGGTCCGTGGCATTTGTTACAGTGGCCTGTGCTGACTCGTACACTAAGCCTTCTCTTCTTCCTAAAACAGGGGAGCAGCCTCCCTTCTCCAGGTTCTGGCGCCACCCCACACCCCCCAAAAAAACACACACTTGGGTGACAACAAGGCTCGGCACGTGTCTGCTCCGAGGGCAGCGCTGGGGGTGCCCGGGGACCTTACAGCTCAGTGTGCTGCTGTGCTGGGCATGCGTCACAGGGGGCTCCCTGCCCCTGCTTCTCACCTGCAACGTGTAGAGGTACGGCAGCCAGACGCAGTCCCCCCAGCCCAGGTACCACCCAAAGTGGTCGTGGCAGATGTCAATGGTTTTCAGGTACCAGGTTTCGTTCCAAAAGAAGTCCAGCACATAGATGGCCTGCAACACAGGAGCGGCCGTGTACTGACCAGAGACACATGGGAGGGGGGCCGACCCCCACGTAAAGGCGGCAGATTACGGTCTTTTGAAAACCATCTGGCTTTCAGGCTTCCCCAGCGCCCACCGGGTGTCAGAGCTCCCACGCCCCTGGGCCACAGAGAGGCTACCTGCAGGACGTTGACCAAGACCATGGAGTTGGTCACGTGGCCGTGGAGCTCCTGCTGCTTGGCTGCGAAGGACAGGTTGATGAGGGTCCAGGCGACGATCCCGGGGCGTCCATTGAAGAAGAGCTTGAAGTCAAACCACTCCCCGATTCGGGGGTTAAACTCAACGCCCATCATGTAGTTGTAAAGGAAATTGCCTGTGAATTTGCTTTAAAATACAAAGAACAGATGCGTGTCGTCCACGAGCGCATCTCACAAGTGGCCTACGCGGCTGGCACGGACACAGGTGCCCAGCCCAGCCTGGGTACGGCAGGCCCAAGAGAGACGACCTGGGGGGAGACCTGCCGTGAACTGCGGGGATGCGGCAGGCAGAGGTCGCGTCAGCCTCCCGCCCTCCCCGCAGACTCAGAGCTTCACTCCACGTTCACCTCTGGCCCTTGAGTTGCTTGCTCTGTTCCAGGGAAGGTGGGGCGATTGTATCTGTGCACCTCCCTTGGGCCAGCGCCCAGGGTCCTCCCTCCCCACTCCAGGCTCCCTGGAGGCACAGCACAGGTGAGCTGCCCAACTGGCTCGACTGGACAGAGATTTTATTCTGAAAGACTCACAGGGCATTCGGGTCTCCCGTGGGCAAGTGGAGTTATACGTGATGCCGAGGTAGATGTGGAAGAAAGCGTGCTGCTCAGAGCCGGGCGCCTGGCTCCAGGGCCCACACCCATCCCTTGCTGGGCAAGTTGAATGTTTCGTTACCTTGGTTACCTGACCTATAGCCCTCTCCAGGAGCGATCAGAGAATCAGCCATAGTAACCCGTGTGGAGACCTTCATTAAGTATAACTTGCTGTACATACACAGGGATCTCTGTGCTAGTCAGAGAAACATATTTTCGTGTCCATTTCCCTCAGGTAGGGTAAGTAGAAAGAAGCCAAATATCCAAAGTCTACAATAGGGGATGTGACTATAAAGCAGAGAAAACGACCTCCGTGAGTCCTAGAAGACCAGCCTCACTATTTGATAAAAAACTCACACAAGCTCAAAGTCCCACCAACCAAACACATTTCCTAAGAGTTTAGGTGTAACAGTCAAAGGAAACATACTTTATTTTCATTTGGACCCCCAAACTAAAATGTGAGCACCCCGAGAATAAGAATCTTGTTTACACCTAAAGCCCCACTGCCTACACCTGTCTACAGGAGGAACCCAACAAACATCTCTTGAGGAATGGACGGATGGAAGGAGGTGGGGAGGGAGGGATGGGGGGATAAGTGGATGGATGGATGAATGGGCTGGATGAATGGGTGCGTGGGTGAATGGCTGGATACAGGGAGACAGGAAGGGAGGGAGGGAGGGAGGGGTGGAGGAAGGGATGGGGAATGGGTAGGTGGTTGGATGGGGAGATGGAGGGATGAATGGATGGGTGGATGGGTGCATGGGTAGGTGGATGGATGGATGAGTTGGATGGGTGGATGGATGGACAGATGGGTGGATGGGTGGGTGGATGAATGGACGAAGAACTGGATAGATGGAGAGATGAAGGAGAGATGGATGCATGGTTGATAACTACCCAACCCAGGGCCCCATGAGAATGGACACCCATCAGCAAGGCTCTCCCTGGGAAGTTCTTACATTAAAGCCACTGAGAAAACAGGACTCCTCACTAAGACTGTTTCAGGCCACACTGACGTTCCAGAAAAAGAGGTGATGGACTGTCTTTGCCACCCAACCAGAATATGCCTTTTCCACCCCCCTGCTCCCTGACAGCCCTACACGACACAGCTCGGCCACCAGAGATGGACTCGGCCGTCTTCAACTGCATCCTCCCTAAGGCAGGAGAAGCCACCCAGACATTTGGAAAGGATGCTTCCCAGAGTCCATCAGGTTCCCTTAAGCTCCTCCTTCAAGGATTCTCAATCCTCAGGGCTCTGCAACCTCCCAGCCCAAGGTAACAGAAAAAGGCACCTGCTCTCCATCTTGGGCTCGACCGGCCGCTGAGGACGTACCAGTCTCGGGCATCGGTGGGGAAGAAGTAGCCCTTGATCATGGCGAAGGTGGAGACGGCGTAGCCCAGAATGTTGGCACACCAGAGCAGCGGGATCCAGTTGTCAAAGATGATGGTGGGAGAGAAGCAGGCGAGGAGGTAGGAATTAAGAAACCAGAGGAGATGCGTGATGAGCCAGGCTTGCAGGCCGTTGATCTCATACTTGTTGACGATTCCTGCGGAGGGAAGAGGGAAGATTGGAGGCGTTCCCCCAGCTGCAACAGCTCCTGGCTCCGGCCCTGCGCCGCCTTTCTGGGCCTCAGCTGCCGGGGTCCCCAGACCCCAGGCTTGACAGCCAGTCAGCTGCTGCTGCCATTCGGGCCCCTAGGGTCAAAATGCCTGCGGCACACCTCACGCTGTGAGCTGGGGACTAACCGCTCCTGCTTGCCGAGTTCCTGGAAGGGTGAGAGGGTGCAGAACGTCTGGAACCAGCCAGAGGCTGAGTCACCAGCCTGCAGTTTGCCGGAGGCTGGGGCTGAGCTACAGCAGAAGCGGACGAGCGTCCCCTAGGGTACCTGGCGGGGGACCCAGCAGCCTCCCTGAGGGGCCAGGTGCTCTCTGTGTGCTGGGGTGGGGTCTCAGTGACTGCGGGGAATGAACGGGCCAGGCAGCCCCAAGGACCCCTTAACAAAAGCCCCGTCCCACCAGGTGCCCCTGGGGGACTCGAAGCGTCGCCGCCGGGGAGAAGCTCCATGAGCCCGGCTACACAGCCAGCGTGGGGCAGGGCGCATTCCGTTCCGACTGAGAAGGTGACTTCCCACCTCGAATCTGGGGCGGTCCCGGGGTGTGGAAATTCCCAAGCAAAGTTTTTACTTTGTCCGGGGGCAGCCTTTGGGATGGCAGCTGCGCGGGGGCGGGGCTGGGGGGAGGCCCCGTGAGATGAAGGGAGGGCAGAGCTGCCACAGGTGGGCAGCAGGGGCGGGGCCCAGCTCACCTGCAGGAGTCATGGCGCCCTCCTGAACGCCCCCCACGTAGCCCGGCAGAAACTTGTGGCAGAAGTCAGGAAGCAGCACGTACAGAAGCACCTGAGACACAGAGAGTGTCCGCTGAATCCCCTGTGAGCCGGGGGCCGCTGTGCCTCGGCACAGCCTTGCTTTGTTGACTGAGATGCTAAACGGGGAGGCGCCGAAGGAAGGGGAGCGAGCCTACTCATAGCCAGGTATTTCTTCCAGGAGAGTCTATAGCGCCGGGAGCTCTGGCTGCAGGCTGACTGCGGGCTTTGAAGGGGGCCCTGAACAGGAGACTCATCACTACTCAGAGCGCCCAAGCCGCCTCCCCACGGGACTCGGCCACTCCCCTCGGGAGAACCCACTAGTTCACATTCTGGACGACTCGCCCTTTGAAAGTGTTCGCCGAAAGTGTTCAGTGCGCTCCCAAGCTCGTGCAGCCCTCCCCAATGTCTAATTAGAGAACAGTTTCACCCCCTCCAAAGGGAACCCCACACCCACAAGCAGCCACTCCCCTCGGCCCCCGCCCACCAGCCCCTGACAACCACTAACCCACTCTCTGTCCCTATGCATTTGCCCATCCTGGACTTTTCACATAAACAGAATCAGACAGGATGTATCCCTTTGTTGCTAATTTCTTTCACTGAGCATCGTGTTCTGAAGGTCCGTCCACGCTGTAGCCTGTGTCAGACCTTCATTCCTTTTTACAGCAGAACACCATGCCACCACGTGGATGGATCACATCGTGTGTGTCCATAACTGTCGATGGACACGTGGGCTGTTCCTGCCTTTAGGCTACTGTGCCTCTCGCTGCTCTGAATCACTTTTTACCCAAAGGGACCAAGAGACCTGAAATGAGAGGGAATCTGAAGCTCGAAAGCTGGGAATGTGGGGAGAAACAGCTAGTAGTGGTCAAAGTCTTCCTTTAGAACAGGAAACCCCAGGGCGGGGAGGCGGTGGCATCTCACAGCACCGTTTCCCTGGAAACCTCCTGGGTTCAGATAATAAAACACCACCTGCTCACCAAGTTCATGGTGCAGACAGCCTTCTGATGAACTCCTTCTGGTTGGGAGGCCAGTGGGGTCACAGCAGAGCCAAGGCTGTCCTTGGACAGGTCTGTGCAACCACCTGCTGGGGACACAGCCTTGGCTTTGCTGAGACTGAGAGCGGCCCTTTAGGATAAGCTCCCCATTGTGCGTGGGGCTTCCCTGGTGGGCCACGCCCTCACGCTTTGCCACGGGGTCCTGCTTCCTGCTCGGCAGGTCCCCGCAGGGCTGGGCACAGCCCTGAACCTTGAGGAGGCTCCGCGGAAAGCGAGTCAGACACTGAAATGCCACCAGGTGCCCTTGATCTGAAGACAGAGCTAAGTCCCTCGGGCTGCAGGTGATTCCCTGCTGGGTCCCGGGAATGAGGACGCCAGTGTGAGCCAGGACTCCACCCCTGACAAGGGGCCAGGACTGTCCCGGCAGGAGGGGACGCTCTGCAGAGGCGGAGCCCCGCCCATGGTGGCCGGCGGCCGGGAGGGCTGACCTGGAACGTGACCCATGCCACGTAGATCTGGGCCGCTTTCATCGTCACAGGTGGCGTCTTGGCCCAGATGTCTGAGAGTCGAGCCTGCCCGGTGGCGATGTCCACCAAGGGGGCCGTCAGGGAGCAGCTGTACTGGTCGCAGGCCATGATGAAATAGTACACGATGAAGGGTGCAAACAGCAGCAGGAAGGTGACGCTTGCCAGGGAAAACCAGTCCACCTCCCTGTGGGGCGGACGGACAGTAGGAGGTCACGTGGCGCCCTCCCGACCCTCCGACCCGACGCACGGGATGCTCTGCTCCACGTGCAAACCCGCCAGCGCTTCCCAAGAGAAGGCTGTCAGCTTGCAGCGCAAAGGCCCCCACTGCCTGGGGAAGGCACCCCACCTGCATGCTCCACTGTAAGCAGTCTGAAGGCCGACAGACCCGTGGGCACCCCCAGAAAGCCCAGGGCCCAGGGCACGAAAGGCAGAAGGCCTTTCACAACCCAGGTGGCCAGAGGCTTCCCGTTCTGGGCCATGGGGGACATTCACCAAGTCCCCAGCACTCTATGGCTCGACAACCATGACCCCCATGCGCTGCACAGTGAGGGCGGTACAAGGGCACCAGCTGTCCTTGGAATCAGTTTTTAGTTTCTTCTTCTTGTAATTCCTCACTCTCTAAAAGGGGAAACTGCTACTAATGATAGTCTTGCTGATAAAAAGAATTTTTTAAATAGGTTCATGAAATCCCAAAGGCTGGCAACCTCTCACTGAGATTCCACTTTACTTTCTAGCTGGGAAGATGGGTGAGAGCCTTACCAGGCACGGCCCCACTGCCCGTGGGTCGCGGCCTTGCTGACGCTGCCAGGACTCTTGGTTTTGGGATCGTTGGACTGTGACTTTGCAGCCATTGGGCCCTGAGGGAAGGAGACACTGCGCTCAGATCGTCCCGTGACAAACGGACACTGCACCTCCCACTGTTCACAGGCCCCACAGGGCTGGCCTCCTTCATTCACCTATTCTTTATCTTGTCCTAGATGGGAGATTCCAGGCAGGGAAGAGATCAGTGCATCTTAGACTCACTCCTGGAACCCGCAATAACCTCCCACATGGCCCTACTTCTGCTCTTGCCTGTCTCCATTCATTTTCCAACGACAGCAGAACATCCTTCTTACTACGTGAACCCAGACACCCGTGGCTCAGAACCCTCCCACAATGTGCTCCTTCCTCCCCTCTTCCCCACTCTCCCTTCATACCCTCTGCTCCAGGCACAAGGAGGTCTCTACCAATCCTTTTTTTTAAAATTTTATTTATTTATCTGTTATAAGCAGGTTCTTATTAGTTATCTACTTTATACATATTAGTGTATACGTGTGAATCCCAATCTCCCAGTTCATCACACCACCACCACTACCCCCACCACCCCTGCCACTTTCCCCCCTTAGTGTCTGTACGTTTGTTCTCTACATCTGTGCCTCTACTGCTGCCTTGCAAACCGGTTCATCTGTACCATTTTTCTAGATTTCCCTATCAATCCTTAAATGTGGTTTATCTTGTTCATGACACCCGCTACTTTCAGCTTAGAAGGTCTCCTCATTCAGGTCTCCTATAAAATGTCCCCTCCTCAGTATATGACTTTTTATTTTTCCTGGAGTTAATGGTTGCCTCCCTTTTTCCATTTTCTAAGGTTCCCATGCATCTATCACTAACTTTTTTTTCTGAATGCTCTAACAGAGCTATCATATATATTAATAATTTTTCTACATACTCCCAACACAATTTATCATTTCCATTCCTCTCTCCCACCCATAGCCACTCATCTTGTACCAACATACAAGCCAACCAGTGGTCATAATATGGGGGAAGCAGTGACGTCTCCACGTCTAGAACAAGTTCACAATTGTCAAGGTTCCAAATATCAGGCATTAAAAAAAAGATGATCTTAAAAGCTTTCAGAAAAAATCCAGGATGAAGAGTCACGCCAGCAGCAGGCTGGATTCTAGAAAACAAGGGTGGAAAACTCAAAATTCTGACGGAAACTTATTTCAACCTACAGTTCTATTCCCAGGTTAACTATTATTCAGAGAAGACACAGGATCCAAGAAAGCTGCTAAAGAAATGCCCAGTGAAAGGACAAGAGGAAGTCCCAAGAGAACGGCTGTGCAGTGGACCAGACAGTAACCGGTCCACACCGGCACAAGACGAACGGCTACAGGGGTGAGGAGGAAAGGAAATGACACATTTTGTTGTGTTCGAGTGTGTAGAACAATCATTGATATGTACGATGGCTCTGTTAAAACATGCAGGAAAAAAATTAGTGATAGATACACAGAAACCTGAGTGTATGGAAAAAGGGAGGCGACCATTGACTCCAGAAAGATTAAAAAGCCATACAAAGGGGGAAAAACACCCAAACCATATGATAGTACATTACTTAGCTTAACAGCAAATAATAATAACTTTGCCAGAACCATGTAAACTCTGATGACTGACTGACTACTAGATGTATAGAAGGAAACGTGTAAAGCTGGGAGCGCTGAAAGGAAATGGTTTAGAGAGAAGCAGGTGAAAACCACACAAAAGTAGCTAAGGGAATGAAAAGTATTCTCTTCTGGGAAGTGAGGCTATGAGATGAGTCACGGAACTGTTCACTTTATATATAAGCCTCTTAACACTGATTTTATTCTAAATGGGAACATGAATTACTTTAATACAACTGTGTATTCATTTACAATTTTTCAGTAATGAAAACTGCAGCCACATAAGTTAATTTACACAGGTTAGTTTGTGGAGCATCTGCGATGTTCAAGGCAGGCTGAAGAGTTCTTTATAGGCGGGGACCACCCATCTTTACAGCCCCAAAACACAGAACACCGAGCCTGGTACATAGCAGCTACTCTGATCTAACGTGCTGGAAAGTTGCAAAAGGGCCAGAAATGTACAGGCTGAGAACGAAATGTGGAAAGCCGAAAGGAAGAAGCGTATCTTCTAGGGATTAAAACAAGCCCAGATAATTATTCTGAGCTTATAATAGCGTTCATTCACCCCTCTGTCATAAGCACTGAATTTTTAATAAAGGTGTAAGTAACATCCTTGGCAGGAGATGGCTGAAAATAGGGCACAGGGTGGCATTCTGGATGTAATTTATTGTTTTGCTAAGAGTCAGACGAGAATTGATACCAGGAGCTGAGGGACAAGCTGCCTCTACTTCTCCAAAGCTGAAAAGTCCCTGCCTTTGCCCAGGAGCAGCAGTGCTGAGATGGGCTTACCTCCAACCTCTTACCAAGCGGTTTCATGGCAGAACGCAGGTTTTCCTTCTCGAACTGCCCCCTTTCAAGTCGCTAGATTCCCACGCTCCACAAGGCCCGCTTGATCCTTTTCAACCCGCTGAACAAAGTCCTGCAGGGGACACGAAGAGACTCAGGGGAACAAAGGGAGATAAGGACCCAGATGGTATTTTCTCGAGGCCCGCCGCTGGGACCAAGTGAAAGGCGCAAGCTCAGCGCCTAGGGGTTCTAAAGCACAAGAGGCCCCCACGGGTGGGGATCCCCCAGGAGAAGGCAATCTCATCACGCAGCTTCTCTGCCTGGCACCCACGCCGTCTGCCGAAGAGTAAGCACTGATCAACAACGGGCAGAGCTGGATGGAGGGCTTCAGGGAGGAGTTGTCTTGCAGATGAGCCTTAACACGGCAGACACAGAGCTGGTGAACAGCAACGAGCCGAAGCTGGCTTCTTTGCAGACTCACGCCAGGCAGCGCACGTGCCTCTGAACCGTTTCTACAAGCCATTTGTGCCAGTGACCCGGATCACGCCCCGCTAGAGCCTGCACGTTCCCACCGCACGTTCTAGGAGCCAGTGAGCTCCCAAGAATACAGGGCACCGCTGACAGTAATCTGGGCTCGGAGGCTGGTTCTCAGCAGACGCACTGGACCTGGGACCTTCCTGAGTGTCTTGGGGCATCAAAGCCCCCCCCCCCCCCCCCACACACACACACGAGGTTCTGCGCTTGTTGTTAAAGCTGGATAAAGGAGGTTTCGTGTCCACACCCGGGAAGGAGCCAGGGAAATGCCGGGGGGCACCCTGGTCAGCTCCCTGGGCCGGATTTTGAGTTCCACAGGCCAAAGATAAAGGGATGTTTCTCCTGAGGGTTTGGGATGATGTAGTGTGAGTGCCTGACAGTAAGCGTCCATTTCAAAAGCCATCCACCTTGAATAAACACATAGCCACCAGCAGAACCACCAGATAAGGACCAAGGCGTCCCCCAAGCCACGAAGGGCCCTCACTCAGGAAGTCCGGGGTAACCTAGTGACTGACAGCTCGAGTGACTGCGCTGCTCCCTTCCCACACCCTAATTCCTGTTCCTATGCTTTAAATTCACCAATAAAGAGTGACCCCGTGAAGCCCTAGACACCCCGCCCTCAGGCCCTCATAAAGGCAGAGCCCAGCCCCACACCCGCACCCTCTTTCTACCTACAATCTGGCTGCGTGTACCCACAGGACCCGTGAGCAATAAATCTCGTTCCTCAACGTTCCATGACGGTTTTGGCTGAAGGCGTCCTGCAATCATGGTGAGAACCTCAAGGGCCAGTCTGGCCACTACATGGCCCCGGCGGGGGAGACGTCTGTGGGCTCCTCACAGCAAAGCAGTCCAGGTGAGTGCCTCCAATGTTCTATAGCTGAGAATATCACCATCGACAGCCCGGGGTGCACACAACAGAAGGCTTAAGCCCCGTGGCAGTTCTTTCGGCATCTCGAGGGTTTGGTATTTGGAGACGCGTCGGAGACCCAGGACCGTGGCAGGGACGGGATGGCATGGTGAACCCCCAGGAGGCCCAGATGTCACCCTCAAGGCTGCAAGTTCTCTGCTGGCTTGGTTTCCTCATCCGCAAAGTAACTTACTGTCGGGTAAATGAGGTCACGGGGCCAAGTGCTCAGAGCCCCACCCAAGCCCCATCAGAGTCCGCCCCAGAGAGTCGGCTACTGCCGACACCGCCACCAGCACCGCCCAGGCCTCAGGAAGGCTCAGTGGGGCTCACACAGGGCATCGGGGTGACGTTTGGCCTGTCAGAGGTCTAAGGGGGATGCACCTGCAAGGCCCGACCCCAGAGAGTTCTGTTACCCACTGCACAGCTCATCACTCCTCAACGTACTGGTTTAAAACAACAATCTAGCAGGACTTCCCTGGCGGTCCAGCGGTTAGGACTCCGTGCTTTCACTGCAAGGGCACAGGTTCAATCCCCAGTCGGGGAACTAAGATCCCACAAGCTGAGGGGTGCGGTCAAAACAAAACAAACGGTCTTTCGTCCTTTGTTCCTGTGGGTTGGGAACCTGGGAAGGCTGGCTAAGTAGCTATGGCCTGGGGTGTCCCGGAGCGGCGGCTCATCACGTGCTCGCTCGGTGTGGGCTAGCTTGGGCTTCCTCCCAGCATGGCGGACTCAAGGCAGTGGGAGGGGGTGCCCGAGCTGCCTTTTCTGCCCCGCGTCAGCCCAGCACATTCATCTGGCTACACTGAGTCACAAGCCCACTAGCTTTCAAGGGGAGGGGAAGCAGGCTCTGACTCCTGATGGGGAAGCCGCAGGGTATTAAAAGAACGTGAGATCCTGGATGATACAACCTATCATAGGTGACGACTATTTACTGAGCATCTACCAAGCTCCAAGCACCCATCAGCTCATAGAATTCCCACCCCAATCCTGGAGAGTTGCCATCATTAGGCCCATTTTACAGATGAGGGGGTTGAGGCGAGGAAAGCGGAACAAGTTGTTAGCACAGACCTACAGGGATAGAGCTGGGTCTGCGTGCACGCCACCCTCTGTGACACACTTGGGAGACTGTGGAGTAAAATTCAGAGTAGTGATGACAAGAGCCAACCTCTCTGAGTCCTGCATCAGGTACTATCCTAACATACATACAGAAACATTTAGTTGGAATGTTATCGGAACAGCAGGGGTTCTGTTTTGGAAATTTGTTAGTCCAAGGAGTGGTAGACACTGAAAATTACAGACATGCCCCAACTTGGACTTAAAGGAATGATACAATTCAGAACCGGTGAGGGTTGGGCAGCTGCTCTCCTGGTGGGAGAACAATTTCAGAGGCCAGGTAGACCTTCAGGTTGACCCAGCATTTACTTGTACGAATTTATCCTGGGACACACACAGATGGCTGTGTAAACCCACAGGTGAGAGAAACACTGACACACCGGTGCAGGGGAATACTCAGCAACTGTTAAAAAGAATGAGCTTAACGTGGCAGAAAGTTCCCTGGTATGTTACAGCACAAGGGCAAGCCGCAAGACGGTCTATCACTAAAAAACTATTCAAAAAGCCGTATACCCAAACCCTCAGTAGTGTGGGACATCCACGTGGGCTTTCCCCCCCACCGCCCCGTCTTTTCCTAGTTTGTCTAGTGGACACTTGTATAATAAAATAATTTAACAACGATGAAATGAGTTGTTGGTACAGCTCTTGGAGTTCTTAGAGCACAATTCTGGGAACATCTGTGGCTCTCTCCGGGGTCAGGGAGGTCATCTGCTCTCAAGGCATAGGGGAGTGATTTCGGGGGTCATTCTTGGGTTTACCTGCAGCTTTTTTGCATCCCCCCCCCCCAGCCCTCTGCCGATGGTCACTCCCTCAACTGGCGCATGCAATTCACAAGCCCCAATTGACAAATGCAGAGGCTGCTCTCGGCACTGGACAGCTCTGGCCTGGCTTCTCTGGGGAGGGTTGAGGTCCTGGCTGGGGCATGGCAACCCGCTCCTGGGGCGCTTCTGAGGCCTCCAGAAATACATGTGAGCCCTGGAAGGAAATTCCAGAAACGATGACCTCTGATTCGAAAGGGTAAACTGCAGCTTTGACTGCAGGTACAGGGTTTCTGTTTTTTGAAAGTTGCAAAATATACACTCACTGTAACACCATCGCTGCAACAGAAGTTTGAAAGTCAGACAACAAATCCCCTCAATCCAGCCCCTGGGGTCACTGAATTTTGCTGTGTATTCTCCGGATTGTCTCACGAGCTACTTGTCACACGATACACACCCACCCTCCCTCCTTTTTCTCCCCCAAAATTCGTTTACCTCTAAATTCTGTTGTAAGTTTGCTTCTTCACTTTCTCTGATCTTAGCAGCTTTCTACTAGGTAGATCTTCTACATAAATAGGTAGATCTGCTGCATAAATCTGCCACTTTTTTTTTTTAGCAGCAGTAGTTACATAAAAGGATTTTGTGGGAAGTTTTCCAAGAATTAATTGTGCATGGTTGTTTCTGCCTGGCAAACCGTCCTGGTTTTTGAGTGGCGAGTGTCCTGCAGGTGGGGTAACTCCATCCTCCTCAGGCCTGTTCCTGCCGCCTTCCTGGGGACCTTCAAGGTGCCTGGGGCTGCTCAACCACCACCTGGCCTCTGCAAACCCCAAGCTTCTCAGCTTCTCATCCCCACCCCCACCCCCCTACTAAATGCAGGCATTGCCGACGGGGCTCTTCCCCCCAAACCAAAGTCATGTAGCCGGTATCTCTGGGTTTGAACCCCGGCTCTGCCGCTAAGTACACGACTCTACACGTCACTTCACCTCTCGGGAGCCTCAGTCTCCTCATCTGTAAGATGAGGGCGATGCCAAGTACACAGGTTGTTCTGAGAATTAAGGTCAAAGCACCCAGCCCAGTGCCGGACACTCAGGAAACACCCAGTAAATAACAGGTCTCACACACCATTTTTGATAAACACGATTCCTCATTTCCAACTTTCCTGTCTCCTTTCTTTACCTTTTGTCGGGAATCTCACCAGAGCAATCCCTACCCTTAAAACCCTTTTTCATAAAATTATAAAATGTCCAAGAAAGAGGCAATACATCATTATTTAAGTTAGTCGGGAAAGCTGGAAAAGAAAAGAGGGAGCGTTTGGTCTTTTGTGAGCACTCCCTGCCCTGCCCGCCGTGCATCGACCCCCCCCCCCCCCCCCCCCCATTAATCTATTCCTAGTAAAGCAATTCAGAGTCTCCTGCTACCTGCTCCCACCTTCTCGGTGAGCAAAGACAAATTATCCGCGTTTCCTCAACAGAAAACTGCATCCGCTCACGCGGGGCACCCGAGGAAGGAACCGGCCCACCCGGCGCAGGAAGCACCCACCTGGCTCCGCCCCGGCTCCTCCGGGATCTCCCGACCACCGGGGGACGGAGCATCTCCGAAAGGCCGTCTTCGGGTGGCCAACCTGCGCCCCTAGATCTCCGGCCTCTGCTCACCTGCACGCACGCACCCCTGCCCACCTGAGCACGCATCTCCTCCTCGCCAGAGCACTAGCCCCCCTCCACGCTCCTGCGCGCACCCATCCCACCCCTGACCTGCGCACGCCCCCGGACCTGCTCGCCCCCCGCTCCCCTGCGCGCGTCTCACACTTGCGCAGCTGGCCCGCTTACCTGAGCGCCAGTCTCCGCGCCCGGCTCCCCACCCGCTCCTACTCGCGCGCTCCAGGCCGGTCGTCCCAAGATGTGGCGTAATGGCAGATGACCAATCGGAGACGGGCCCTGTGAGGCCCGGCGCTGTCGCGCCCCGCGATTGGCCGCGGCGCCTCGCCCCACCCCCTGGGCTGACTCCGGGCCACCGCGCGCTCCATTCTGCAGCCGCTGGGCGCGAGATTGACAGCTGAGGACCAGTCCCGCGCACAGCCTCCCTAAGGGCCGGGGAGCCCCGCCCAGGCTGGGGGCTGGGGAGGGGGGGGGTTCGTCCCCACCGGTGGTGGTGGGCAAGCGGCTTAGATCCCCAGCCTCAGTTTCCTCTTCTGCCAATGGGGCTTCAAAGGCGCGCAGCCCACGCTGAGCCTGTGGTGTACAGATTGCCGGGTCCACAACAACCCACAAAACAGACCAAAATCCCTGCTCTTGGGGCGCACGCGCGGTAGTGGTGGTGCGTAATCAAGAAACAATCGGGCAGGCAAATAGGGTGTCAGATGGTGGCAAGTGGTGTGGAGAAGATCAAAACAGGGTGTGTGGGCAGCAGCTTTATTCAGGGGTGTCGGGGAGAGCCCGCCGCTAGGAGGCCACCCCAGGCCTTCCCCAGGAAGGGACCGGGAGGTGGAGTTTAGGGTGCGCTCACAGTGTGCAGGGCTGGGTGGAGAGAGAAGCTGCGTGGAGATGCGAGCAGCAGCTTAGGTCAACCACGTGGGGAAGCCCCCTAATAAGACAGCCCCTCAGAGTTGTCCCCTGGGCAGTGACAAGAGAAATGTTCACAGGTCAAGGTGTGAGGGAGTCATTCCGGCTTGTACGCGTTTCACCCTGAACTCCAGGCTCACCAAAACAGCCTGTTTGTGGCCCATCAAACGTGCGCTGTACATCTGCTTTAACCATTCAAGAAAAGAATGCGTTTAAAAATCAAAAGGGAGTGACTATGGTTCAGGCATTTGAAATGGATCTGGGTGGCCTTTGTGGACATGGTTTCAGGCCTGTTCCTACATCACTGAGAACCTGAATTTTCTGGACTGTGTCAGCCTCAAGGACACCACCAGCTGTTCTCAGAACAATAGCTGCTGGCTGCCCGCTGTAACCTTGAAAGGCTCGAGGTCTCCTCTTGTAACTATGCAACCATGTTGGACCCCAACCAATCCTTGCTTAACAAGCGCTCTTACTTCTTGCCAACTGCAATTTCAGTTCTTAACAAACAACTTTTCTCATTTTGGGGGGTTTTGCCTTTAGAAGCTTCTCCCATTTTATAGTTTTAATCGCTTCTTTTTTTTTTTTTTTGCGGTACGCGGGCCTCTCACTGTTGTGGCCTCCACCGTTGCGGAGCACAGGCTCCGGACGCGCAGGCCCAGTGGCCATGGCTCACGGGCCCAGCCGCTCCGCAGCATGTGGGATCTTCCCAGACCGGGGCACGAACCCGCGTCCCCTACATCGGCAGGCGGACTCTCAACCACTGCGCCACCAGGGAAGCCCTTAATCGCTTCTTGAATCAGCGTCTCCTGGGCTCTAATCCTCAGTTTGCCTCAAATAAAACTCTTCTATTCCTCTTATAGGTTGGTTTATTGATTATTTCTGTGGACAGCAGGAATGGCCAAGCCTCCTTCATATACCCCTGCCCTAGCAAGGGCATGACCTTGGGTTGGGCAGCTGTGCAACCCAGGCAGCCCCTGGAGGGGAGGGGAGCTGAAGGTGTCTGCTGCTGACCCCAACTTCCAACATCTGGGGCATCGGTTTACTGGCAGAGGGATCTGGATGGCCATCTCTGTGTCCCTCACAGAGACATGTTTTTCCCCTGTAGTCTTTTATTTTGAAAATGTCCAACATGCAAACCGGTTGAATAAATAGTAAAGTGAACACCCACATACTTAGATTCAGCAGCCGTCAACAGTTTGCCATATTTAATCTCTCTCTCTCTCTCTCTCTCTCTCTCCCTCGCGCGCGCACGCACTCTGTAGGTGTGTGTATCCCCTCCTTTCCCCCCTCCCCGAACCACTAATGAGCTACAGATGATACCTCCCTCCTGAATATTTCAGTATCCATCTCCTAAAAACAAGGACATTCTTCTACTTTACCAAAATAGAATGAGCACACGCTGGAAATTTAACATCCATTCAATGCTGTTGTCTAATATATTACCCATATTCAGCTTCCTGCTGTTGTGCCGGTCATGTTGTTTGTTGCTCATTACAAAAAACCCAGGATCCAGTCGGGGAACCACACTGTGCATTGAGCTCCTCAGCCTGGCTTCATCTACACCACTGCCCCAGCAGTACCTTCTAGTTCGTTTTATTGTTTCTTTTCCGTCCTTGACAATTTTGAAGAGTCAAGGCTGGCTTTTCACAGCAGGTCTCTTGATTGGGTTTGGCTGTTGTCCTTGCTTTTAGGTTATGCATTGTGGGGCAGGATGATATGCTACCCAGATGTCGTATCTTCACGCATCCTAGCAGGAGGCAACATGATGTCACTTTGTCCCTTTGTTGATGGTAAGTTTGATCGTGTGGTTCAGGTGGTATCCGCCAAAAGTCTCCATTTTTCCTTTCACGATTAACGCGTAAGCTGTGGAGTGATACTTTGAGGCTGTAAATACACTGCTCACAAATAACCCTCGGTCCAATTATCTAGCATTTAGTGATGACTCTTGCCTGAACCAAACTACTGGATGCAAAAAGGGTGATCTAACTTCCTCAACCTTTCAATATTTATTTGTTGGCATTTTTCTGTAAAGAATTTGCCTCTCTTAATTTTTTGTCAGAATGGACGAATAGATTTTTTGCTCATTGAGTTACGATCCTGTACTGTCATTTACTTTTTTTTAAAGTTCCCATATTGTCCCATACTTGGCCAGTGGGAACCCCTCCAAACTGATTCTTTCTTTTCAAATAACATGTTCCCATCATTTTTGGAGAACGTCCTTATTTTCTGCTCCAACCAGACATTGGAGGATTTGCTCCTTCCCTGCCCAAGGCCTAGAACCAGCCATGGTTGGCAGGAGATATTTGAGCATACTGGAAAGAACTGAGGTATTTCTAGCAATGAAAACTGCCCCAAAGGGTCGAAGTGAGGATTAAATGAATGAACATATAAACATTTTTGTGGTTTTCTGAAATTTCCAAATGGAAGCTCATGAACAAGCATTACTTTATAAACAGGATACACGTTTGTCTGAAATGTGAAAACGTGTACAGTACGTATGGCAGAGGCAGCATTGCAAACCAGTAGAAAAGCGTGGCCTGTTCCATCAACGATGGTCAGCCAGCTACTTATTCACAAGGGGAAAAAAATGAATTCCTACCCTAAGGGGACTAAAGGGTGAAATGTGAGAACAAAACCTGAAAAACTGCTGGTAGTGAATAGGTTCAAATGCTTCAGAGAGGAAATTGGGTAACATTTAGTAAAGTTGCACGTATGCATATCCTACGCCTGGCGAGCGAGGCGCAGGTAAGTGCAGCTCCAGGGGAAACTGGCAACGGTAGGCGGCGTAGAGAAACTAGTTGCCCTCACACGGGATGCATTACAGGAATGAAAATAGCAGGGCGCCTGTGTGCTGGCACAGCGCTGCTAACTTAAATGAACGGATAAAGTGGGCTTTATTCCTACAGTGCAGTGACAAATGCAGCAATAACCAAAAGAACGTAATTAATATCACGGGGGAAAATAAAGTTGCACAAGCGTATTAAGATGCAGTTTGCGGGGAAGTATGGGGGCACGCGGGCGGGCCGGCCCCTCTCCCCCTGCGCTCCAGGACTTGGCGACCGTCCCACCTGCCCGGTCAGAGTCAGGGCGGCGCGGGCGGGGGTCGCGCGCTGGCACCCTTGCGGAGCACTCGCGTCTCCGCGGGCCTCCCTCCTGCGCAGGCGCGGCGGAGAGCTCGGCGGGCTGGGCGGGGCGGGCTGGGCGGGGCGGGGCGGGGCGAGGGCGGGGAGATCGCGGCGGGGCCTGACGCTGGGGCTCTGCTGTCCTGTCCCTTCAGGGCCTGGCGGGACGGGACGGGGCAACCCGGAAGGACACAAGCCGAGGCCGCCTGTCTCCCTAGGACAGAAAGACCCACCGTCCGGCCGGCCTTTTGCCCAGGCGACTGCAGCCAGGATGGGCCGGAAGGTGACCGTGGCCACCTGCGCGCTCAACCAGTGGGCCCTGGACTTCGAGGGCAATTTGCAAAGGATTTTAAAGAGTGAGTCTAGGGGTGGCGTGGGGCAGAGGGGCGAAGGTCCATTCTGGCCGCCAGACTTGCTGTGACGCACACGCAGCCTTGCTCTGGAGAAACTCGTGGCCGTTGGCATGGGGACAGATAAGATAAGCTATCTTATGACCACGCCTTTGCCCGTAAGTGCCCAGGTCCTCCTCATGAATGGGAGTGCGGAGTGGGTTACAGTGCCTGGGGACACGTGGTCTGTACGCGTGGTAAGAAAAGTCTGGCCGTGGAGGTGGAGATGGGAGGGCTGGGGTGAACCTGTCCTCAAATATCTTTGGGGTCGCATGTGACATTTCTAGAGCTGAAACCGACCCAAAGAGGGAAGTGGAATAGGGGTGAGCTCCCCAGCTTAGAGGCTAGGTGTGGTCGTTGTGTGTGTGTGACGGGGGTCCCCATACAGTTGTCATCTGCACCAGCTCACCTTTGAAAGCGCAAGTTTGCACTGTTGACATCTACACCTGAAGTGGGGCTGCCCTGGGCGACCCTACAGTTTCGGCCGCTTCAGACTGGCTGTCCTCAGCTGGTTACTGCAGCAGAGTTGCCAACCGCAGTAAAAACAGAATGATTCAGGTGAGGGCATCTTAGCAGCCATGTGCCTCGGACCTTCATCCTTTTTGTTTTTTTCGATCTCAACCTGCTTTCATCTCATCAGAGCTCAGAGCAAATCTAGTTGGAGTGAAGAGAGGCAGTCTCGGTGGCCAGAGCTGAGTCTCCACTTGGCCAGCCTTTCCTCCCCGGCCTGCTGCTCAAACCCAGAGGCGGCTGGTACCTGCTGCTGGTGCCTTTGGGTCCTGTCTTCTCCCTACACAGGGTCTTCCGCATCTGCTGGTTAATGAACTACCAGTGTGTGACTCCCCGCTCGCCCCGCTCTGCTCCTTCTTGGTGCTGAGGGTCAGCCCTGCAGGCCCTGCCTGTGTCTCTCATTTCCTGCAGGTGTCAGCAGGGTCTGGGAGATGCCCTTTTGTTTTTTACGACACCTATGGCAGCGAGAGAGTTGGATCTGCCTTTGGACCAGTTGTGGGTGCTGAAATTGCCTCTCTTTCTCTCTCTCTGTACATGTAGGTATTGAAATTGCCAAGCACAAAGGAGCAAGATACAGGCTTGGACCAGAACTGGAAATATGGTGAGAGCAGAACACACAGACACCCCAGGGTGGGCAGGTAGAGGCGTCTATATCAGCTCCCCTCAGCCGAAAGTGCAAGGAAGGAGGTGGCGGGCATTGAGAACTGCGGACACGCAGGCCCATTTAGGAGACCATCAGAAGCCCGTGAATGTGCGTGCTTGGCACACTTGAACAAAGCAGGCCCGGCAAGGCTGGGTGATCCCAGACTCCTATGTCGGGTAACACAGGAGCTCGTAGAGAGGCAGACTTTTCCCAGTCCGGGGCTGATGTCAAAGCTGGCTGGACGTCTGGCATTGCATTGGTGTTTGATATCATATGTAGCCTGGGAGGTGCGGAAGTGACAGCCTCTGAGGCAGGAGTCTGTCCTTGGAGAGGAAAGGGCATCCCAGGTCTGGACCCCGTTTTCATCTAAGAATCAGGCTCTCCCCCTGATCAGAACCAGAGGCTGAGAGGAATGCTTTTCAAGGCATTAAGGGTGGCAAAGGCCAGTTTGGGGGTTTGTGTTCACGTGTGCAAAGTTTGCTCGGCATTTGCAACATCACTTCCGGGCCATGCGTAGTGGGAAGGACCTTGTGAAGATTTAAAAGTGGTTTACAGAGAATTCCCTGGCAATCCAGCGGTTAGTACTTTACGCTGTCATTGCCGGGGGTCGGGGTTCCATCCCTGGTTGGGGACCTAAAATCCCACAAGCCATGCGGTGTGGAAATAAGACAAAATGAAGTGAAATAAGATAAAATAAAATAGTAAAATAAATAAAACAAAATAAAATAGTACTTTACAAATTCTGTACATTTCGTTACTGGGACTCCCAGACTGAGAAATTACTCTCAACCCACTTCCCCTGTTAGGACCTCATTGAGCATTGTATTAGTTTTTTCTGGAGCTGCTGTAACAAAGTTTCACAAACTGGATGGTTTAAAACGGCAGGAATTTATTCTCTCACAGTTCGGGAGGCCCGAAGTCCCAAATCAAGGTGTCAGCAAGGCCCTGCTTCCTCCAGGGTGCCAGGGGATGGTCCTTCCTGCCCCTTCAAGCTTCTGGTTCCCAGTTCTTTGTCTTGTGGCCGCATCCCTCCAGCCCCAGCCCCGTCTCTTCTCCATGGCTTTTCCTCCTTCTGTTTCATGTAAGGACACTTGTCACTGGCTTTAGGGCCAGGGTCATCTCATCTCCAGATCCTTCACTTACATCTCTAAAGACACTTTTTCCAAATGACGTCACATCCACAGCTTCTGGAGGTTAAGGCATGGACACATCTTTTTGGGGGACACCATTCAGCCCCCTACAAGCTTCCGTATCTCTAGCAAGAAACTCAGGAGTAGCTGTGTGAGTGGCATTCGAATGATTGTTCATGGTCCCTTTGCCTGAGGAATGTTTTTCTCTGGGTCCAGCTTTGTTTCTTTCTCATCCCTTTCTTGTAGATTAGTGGGATTTGGGCTACATTGAAGGTTAAAAAAAAAAAAATCCAAGAGCAGACACTTTTTGACATGAGAGAGAATTTCTCATTGTAACTGACAACTTTGAGAAGTGGATGGGGACCAGTCCATGAATTTCCAATAAAGAGCATCGTTTTTGGGGGTTTTTTTGTAGCAGTGATTCCAAGTCTGGCCGCACAATAGAATCTCCTGGGAGGCTTTATAAAGATACCAAGGGGCTTCCCTGGTGGCGCAGTGGTTGGGACTCCGCCTGCCGATGCAGGGGACGCGGGTTCGTGCCCCGGTCCGGGAAGATCCCACATGCCGCGGAGCGGCTGGGCCCGTGAGCCATGGCCACTGAGCCTGCGCGTCCGGAGCCTGTGCTCCGCAGCGGGAGAGGCCACGGCAGTGAGAGGCCCATGTACCGCAAAAAAAAAGAAAAAAAAAAATACCAAGGCCTGGGTTGCACCCCTGCATGTTCTGACTCCTAGGCCCCTAGGCCCCTGCCCCACCCCTGCCCCCGGGCCCACCCGGTGTGTCTCAGGGGTTCACTGTCCTGCTCCCTCCCTCTGCAGTGGCTACGGTTGTTGGGATCATTATTACGAGTCGGACACCCTCCTGCATTCGCTCCAGGTCCTGGCTGCCCTTCTGGAATCTCCAGTCACTCAGGATATCATCTGTGATGTGGGAATGTAAGTGCCGGCGTGAGCATGGGGAAAGGCCGGCTTGGAAAGAGGCAAGTTCAAGGGCGTCGTATGTCTGGAGCCATCCTAACATCAGGGAGGTGGAATCTGCACAGTTCAAAGACACAGAAGGCCTCTTGTGGAGGAGTGGGCTTTGTTCCCTCTCTAGCCCTGCAGGTACCTAACTCCCCCAGCGGAGGCCGCTCTTGGGAGATTTTTTTTGTATGTTCTTCCGGATGCTACTGTGCATGTGGGAACACGCTTTGCACAGCTGGGAGCACAGGGTCTCCCTTTCACATGTATAGCTCTTTCTTTACTTAACGGTAAGTCTTGGGATGGTTCCACATCACTCCATATCGACATGCTGACCATATGGTTCCAGGGGGTGTAGGTATATAAATGTAGCTTTCATAGCTGTAGATGCATAGGTGTAGGTTCCTCCATATGGTATAGGTCCATGTGGTATATAGGTCCATAGGTGTAGGTTCCATAAATGTAGGTCCGTATGGTGTACGTTCCATAGATGCAGGTTCCGTGAGTATAGACGTATATGATGTAGGTTCCGTAGCTGTAGGCCCACGTGGTGTACAGGCAGACCTTGGACACCTTGCAAGTTTGGTTCCAGACCACTGCAGTAAAGCCAAACATAGCAATAAAGTGAGTCACAAAGTTGTTGGTTTCCCAGCGTATATAAAAGTTACATTTACATTATACTGTAGTCTATTAAGCATGCACTGTTATGTCTAAAAATATACGTACTTAACGTTACTTAAAAAATACTTTATTGATAAAAAATGCTAACCATCATCTGAACCTTCAGGGAGTTGTAATCTTTTTCCTGGTGGAGTGTTTGAAATATTGCGAGAATTACCAAAATGTGACACAGACTGGAAGTGAGGAAAAGCTGTTGGAAAAATGGCGCCAATACACTTGCTCAATGCAGGGTTGCCACAGACCTTCAATTAAAAAAAGAAAAAAGAAAGCAATACCTGCAAACCACAGTAAAGCAAAATGCAGTAAGACGAGGTCTGCCTGTAGGTCCACAGCGTGTAGTTTCCACGGGTGCAGGTCACGTGGGTAGGGCTCTGGCCTAGGACTATTGTTGAGCGTGTCTGTGACGTGCTTTGCGTAACCAGAGCCCACTGGTGGGCCTTTATGTGGATTCTGTTTGCATCCTTCACTCTGTGTCACGTCGTGTGGATGTGGCCGAGTTTGCTTTCTTTTCCTCGGCCCTGCACGTGGGCTGCGCTGCCTTTTCAACCTGCTGCGACATCTGTGCAGTAGGTCTCTTTTGAGCAGTGAACAGATGAGATTTTTAACCCCGTTTCTCCGCTTTTACTATGATTCTTGACACACGGACCATGTTTGTGTCCTCTCTTGCTGCTGTGTGACAGAGCACCACAGATGCGACACACAGAACCACACAGATCTGTGTCTTGTGGGTGTGGAGCTCAGAAGTCTGAAACGGGTCAGCAGGGCTGGGCTTCTGGAGGCTGTTGGGGGAGCATGGGTTTCCTTGGAAGAGTCCAGCTCGGGAGGCCCGCCCGCATCCCTTGGCTCGTGGCCCCTCCCCCTCCCTCCATCTTCAAAGCCAGCGATCATATCACTGCAACCCCTGCTTCCACTGCCACGTGCCCTCCGACTGTCCCTCCTCCCTCACAGAAGGACCCTTGTGGTTATGATGAGGGCCCCAGAGAGTCCGGGAGAATCTCCCATCTCAGGGTCTGTAACTTTGTTATATCGGCGAGCTACCCTTTGCCGCATGAGGTGACATGCTTGCACGTCCTAGGAATAGGGATGGGGACATCATTGGGGGCCTTTACGCAGCCCACCACATGGACTGATTCTGGCCACTTTATTTTATTTTATTTTTTTTTACATCTTTATTGGAGTATAATTGCTTTACAGTGGTGTGTTAGTTTCTGCTTTATAACAAAGTGAATCAGTTATATATATACATATGTTCCCATATCTCCTCCCTCTTGCGTCTCCCTCCCTCCCACCCTCCCTATCCCACCCCTCCAGGCGGTCACAAAGCACCGAGCTGATCTCCCTGTGCCATGCGGCTGCTTCCCACTAGCTATCTACCTTACGTTTGGTAGTGTATGTATGTCCATGCCTCTCTCTGGCTTTGTCACAACTCCCCCTTCCCCCTCCCCATATCCTCAAGTCCGTTCTCCAGTAGCTCTGTGTCTTTATTCCTGTCTTACCCCTAGGTCCTTCATGACTTTCTTTTTTTCTTAAATTCCATATATATGTGTTAGCATACGGTGTTTGTCTTTCTCTTTCTGACTTACTTCACTCTGTATGACAGACTCTAGGTCCATCCATCTCATTACAAATAGCTCAATTTCGTTTCTTTTTATGGCTGAGTAATATTCCATTGTATATATGTGCCACATCTTCTTTATCCATTCATCCGATGATGGACACTTAGGTTGTTTCCATCTCCGGGCTATTGTAAATAGAGCTGCAATGAACATTTTGGTACATGACTCTTTTTGAATCATGGTTTTCTCAGGGTATATGCCCAGTAGTGGGATTGCTGGGTGGTATGGTAGTTCTATTTGTAGTTTTTTAAGGAACCTCCATACTGTTCTCCATAGTGGCTGTACCAATTCACATTCCCACCTCTGGCCACTTTATTAAATGTCCTAGTCATCATGGTTTTTTCTTTTTTGTTTTTCCTGTTGTCTTTTGTGTGTTTTCTTTGTTCCACTTTCCTCTGCTGGCCTTGAACTTATAATCCGATTATAATTTTTCTGCTTTTTGTCCTCAAAGTGCTAACAGTCATATTTAAAGACATTTTTCTTTGGAAATCCAGCATTTATCTGGATCTGTAAGCACCACTGAAGAAAACAACCGTCATACCATGATGTCATTGATATTCTCCGTCTGAAATTGTCTTTACAAATTATCCTCCAGGAAAAAGGTGCTGAGCCTCCTTCCTGCCCTGTTTCTGAAGGCGTGTTATCCTTAGCGCTGATCACAAAGGGCTAGCTCAAAATAAAGAAAACTTAAAAAACAAAATAGAATCTTAAAACGCACAATAATTTTTTTTTTAAAAAAAGGTCTTATTTGTTTGTTTTCATGACTTAGGAAGGTGAACTCTCGTTTGTTTTTGGCCGTTTGCGACACTTGTTCTTTAGCCTACAGTTGAAGTGTCTAATTTATTTTAAGAGTTCTTTATGTGTGAATAATATCAACCCATCCCCACATACGATAAAAATACTTTTACTTGTATGTTGTTTGCTGTTTAACTTTATGCGTTGAACTTTCAATTTTCTGTTTGTTTTTATTCAAGAGGCTTACTCCAATTGAAAATCGGATATTCACTGAGGGTCTCTGTTTTGTTTAAAATATAAGTTTACCTCCTGCCTTGAACACATTTTTTTTTTTTTTTTTAGTTTATTTACTTATTTATTTATTTTTGGTTGCACTGGGTCTGGTCTTCGTTGCTGCGCGCGGGCTTTCCCCAGTTGCAGCAAGCGGGGGCTACCCTTCTTTGCGGAGCACGGGCTCCAGGTGCGCGGGCTTCAGTAGTTGTGGCTCACAGGCTCCAGAGCACAGCCTCAGTAGTTGTGGCGCACATGCTTAGTTGCTCCGCGGCATGTGGGATCCTCCCAGATCAGGCCCTGAACCCGCGTCCTCTGCATTGGCAGGTGGACTCCCAAACACTGCACCACCAGGGAAGCCCTTGAACACATTTTTGTATAAATGTGAACACAGGCAGGTTTTGGTTTGGCCTGGGGAGGATTAGAAACCACAGCGGTGGGAGTCCTTGCTGGTGGCATCCGTGTGTCGTGGCCACAACTGGGGGCACCCCCGCCTGCATCCTGTCCTTCAGTCCCTCTGGGAGGAGGAACCCAGGGTAGCGAGACTTAGCCAGTGCAAAGCGGGATTGGGACCTGGCCACCTGATTTGATAGTGCACACTATTAATGGCTGGTTTTATTTCCTCCTCCATCACTCATGTCCCAGGGCATTTATTTATTTGCCTTATTAATTTTATCTGACAACCCATCGTCTTAGGTACCCCTTAAGGCCATCCTCCCGTGGTGCCTGATGCCTTCTGCCCTGAGCGCCTGCGCTCTCACCCTGAGCTGGGCTCCAGCACCTGGGCTTTGCCCAGCTCTGCCTTCTCTGCCATCTCTGCCCAGCTCTGCCCAGCTGTGCCCCAGCTCTGCCCAACTCTTCCCAGCTCTGCCCCAGTTCTGCCCCATTTCTGCCCAGCTCCGCCTAGCTCTGCCCCACCTCTGCCCCGTCTCGACCCAGCTGTGCCCCAGCTCTGCCCCAGCCACTGGCCCCAGAGCACCCCAGCCTCTGGAGCTTTGATCCCCTCCCCTGCAGAGGAGGAAGGTACCAGGTGGTCCGGGAGGAGATGTAAACACAATGTCTATCCTGAGGAGGGTCCAGACAGAGGGGTGAGTAGATCTGCTCAGGGCCCACCACTCCCCACCCCAGCCCCGGCCCCTCGGACCCGCTGCCCCTGCCCTGCAGCCTGCATTCTGGGGTGGGGGGTGTTCGGGTCAGGAGAGGTGCCGGGAGGGAGAATTGGGGAGGCACAGGGGCTAGTGCCTGAGGCCAGCAGGGGACGAAGAGGTGATGTGACAGCAGGGGTGTGAGAAGGGGAGGGAGGGAGCCACTGGAAGGTCCGAGAACCTTCCAGGAGGAGAGGAAGAGCCCTGAGCAGGGAGGGACCTGGTGCTTTGTTTAGAAGACGCTCTCCCATTTAGGGCCTACGCTGTGGCAGAAACACTTGGGCTTGTTGTTAACTTTGGTTTGAGAAAGCCACAGGGGAGCCTTCTGATTCTCACAAAGGACAGAGAAGCTTCACATCGAAGCAGACACATCGCTCTGCCCTTTGCCAACAAGCGCGTGGTCCCCTCTCTCCACAGGCCCAAGCAGACACATGGCTCTGCTCTTCGCCAACAAGCGCGCGCGTCCCCTCTCTCCGCAGGCCCGTGATGCACCGAAACGTCCGCTACAACTGCAGGGTGATCTTTCTCAACAGGTAGGTGACCGCCGGGAGCAGTGACCTGCCTGCCTCCGCTGAGCTCTAGGGGCCTGCGGGCACTCGTGCCAGTGCCCTGGGGCACGGGCCCTGGGGGCCCTGTGCAGGGAGGCTTCTTCTGTCACTACCTTAGTGGGGGCTGGGGTACCAGGCAGGTGACTCGAGTGGCACTGCTCCTGGTCTCCACCACCACGGACACCTTCAGGTATCAGAAAGAGAGAGGCCACGGGGTTGGGTGTGGGGACACATGGCCCCACTGCTGGGAGGTCAGTCCAGGAAGAGAGGCCTTGTCATGTCCCCTCGCAGACCCGGGACATCAGCTGCTCGCAAGTGCCCCCCTGCCGGGTCTTAGCTGCCCTGTGCCCGTCGACTGTCGGGGTGGACGGACCGGCAGCTGCTTCTCGTCGGGTCGTGTTCATCTCGGGCGTGGCCTTGTCCCCCTGCCTGTAGGAAGATCCTGCTCATCAGACCCAAAATGGCCTTGGCCAACGAGGGCAACTACCGAGAGCTGCGCTGGTTCACCCCGTGGTCCCGGAGCCGGTGAGTCGCTGCCCGATGCCGGGAGCCAGGTCTGTGACTGCTCCTTGAACGCTTGTGAAGCGTCTTCCTGCGCGTAGCTTGTGCAGGTCGTGGGGGAGATAGACAAGGATTCCGGGCAGAGTCCCTGCTCCGCAGTACCTGTCGCTTAGCTATAGCTGCTTTGACACAGCCGATCAATTTATAGCCCACTTATCAGAGACCACATGAGACTCTCAGTCATCAGTCACCCATCCTCTGTCATTGTACATCTGATCCATCTGTATATCATTATACATCTGATCCTGTATATCACGGTTTCCCAGCTCCAGCCCCATCGGTTTAGGCTGGATCCTTCTTGTCGTGGGGGTCTGTCCTAGGCATGGAAAGGTGTATAGCGGCATCCCTGGCCTCCACTGATAGACACGTCCATTTGTGACAATTTAAAATGTCTTCAGACATGGCCAAGTGTCCCCTGAGGACAGAATCATCCCCAGTTGAGAACCCCTGCCCTATATTCTTCTTAGAGTTATTCCTGTCTGTTTATTGTTGCTGCTATTACAAATGGAATTTTATGTAGGAAAACTTGAGATTTTGTGTGTTGCTTTTGTAATTGGCCACCTTACTACATTCTCTTATTGGGTCTAGTAGTTATTCTATTGATTTTCTTAGTTTGTTTTTTTTTTCAGGTAGAAATTATATAAAACTAATTTTACTTCTTTCTAATATTTACATCCCTCAGTTCATTTTTGAAACTACTTTTCTTGGCCAGCGTTTCTAGAACAATATTCTAGATCATTTCTAGAACAAACGTCTTTGATAACAGGCATTTTTGTCTTTTTCCCAACTTGACTTGGAAAGCTCTTCCTGTTTCTGATTTGGTTTCAGATTTATATCCATCCTTAGTTATTTTTACTTTGGGGATTTAAAATTAATTGAGAGTGGTTGTTGAATTTATCAAATTTCTTCTTAGCATATGTTGAGATGAACATGGTAAGTCTTTGCATGTCTTTATAAGCTCCAAATGGATGTGGAATGTTAAACTTTGTTTCCGTTTGCTAGTATCTATTCAGGATTTCCCTCTCTTCCCTAAATTTTTTTTTTTTTTTTTGCGGTACGCGGGCCTCTCACTCCTGTGGCCTCTCCCGTTGCGGAGCACAGGCTCCGGACGCCCAGGCTCAGCGGCCATGGCTCACGGGCCCAGCCTCTCTGCGGCATGTGGGATCTTCCCAGACAGGGGCACAAACCCATGTCCCCTGCATCTGCAGGCGGACTCTCAACCACCGCGCCACCAGGGAAGCCCCTCTCTTCTCTAAATTTATATGCCAGTGTTATGTTAGTTAAAAACATTTTTTTCCTGTGCTCTGAATGCTTTAAATATTATAAAAATCATGTAATATCAAGTAATAATATGACAGAACTTCTCTTTACAATTGGGAATGTTGTATCAAATAGTGTTTACTTTTACACTTTTTTAGTGAGGCATAAATAACATGCAATAAGATATGCAGATTTTAGGAGCTTCCTTTTTTGACAGTTGTGTGCATTCGTGCAGTCACACCCTAAAGAAGATAGAGCCATGTCCACGGCACCCCTGCCCCTTTCCAGATGATGCCCCCAAGGTTAGTCTTCTCCTTTCTTAGATTTCATACAAATGGAGTCACACCATGTACATTCCTTTGGAAACGGTTTCTTTAGCTTAACATGATGCTTTTGAGATTCGTCCAATGGTTTGTTCCTTTATACATAGTACAAATAGTTTGCCCTTTTATATAATAATATGGTTTTGTAATTCATAAATAATTCTATAAGCTTGATAACAAAAAAGAAATACACAACCCGCGCCCCCAATCTGCCCTGTCTCCGAGCCCTGCTCCCCATAGCTGTCCATTTCCATTTTCCATTTTTCTCCTTTCTCCTGTAGCCTCTGGGTTTCGCCTTGGTATTTCTTTCTTTTTTTTCTTTTTTTTTAAATTAATTTATTTTTTTGGCTGTGTTGGGTCTTCGTTTCTGTGCGAGGGCTTTCTCTAGTTGTGGCAAGCGGGGGCCGCTCTTCATCACGATGCGTGGGCCTCTCACTATCATGGCCTCTCTCGTTGTGGAGCACAGGCTCCAGACGCGCAGGCTCAGTAGTTGTGGCTCACGGGCCTAGTTGCTCCGTGGCATGTGGGACCTTCCCAGACCAGGGCTCGAACCCGTGTCCCCTGCGTTAGCAGGCAGATTCTCAACCACTGCGCCACCAGGGAAGCCCCCGCCTTGGTATTTCTAACTCGTGCAAACATTGCCATTTCGTGGCCTCCTGCTCTGGAAGGACAGGATTTGGCACACAATTCAGCCCTCACTGTTAGTTTCTCTGACCTCCTCTTCCTAACATGGGCACTTCACAGTTTTCTGGTTAAGTTTGTTTAAAAAAACAAATATTCATCTGAGTGAATTTGATGATCTAATTGGCTTTATTCAATGATTCAGGAACTGGGCAGCCTCCCACTAGTAAATAGAAGGGGCTGTACACAATGGAAGGTTTTTATAGGCAGAAGAAGGACAGGACAAGAAGGTATTAGCGAGAGAAAAGTTTCAGGCCAGGGCTTCCTCTTTGATACGGAGGACACAGCAAGCAGGATCTTTTTTTTTTTTTTTTAGTTGATGTATAGTTGATTTACAATGTTGTGTTAATATCTGCTGTACAGCAAAGTGATTCCGTTATATATATATATATATATATATATGTACATTTTTAAAATACTCTTTTCCATTATGGTTTATCACAGAATATTGAATATAGTTCCCTGTGCTATATAGTAGGACCTTGTTGTTTATCCATTCTGTATGTAATAGTCTAATTTGCTAATCCCAAATCCCAATCCTTCCCTCCCCCTTGGCAATCACAAGTCTGTTCTGTATGTCTGTGAGTCTGTTTCTCTTTTGTAGGTAAGTTCATCTGTGTCATATTTTAGATTCCACATGTAAGTGATATCATATGGTATTTGTCTCTCTCTGTCTGACTTACTTCACTTAGTACGATCATCTCTAGGTCCATCCATTTTGTTGCAGATGGCATTATTTCATTCTTTTTTAGGGCTGAGTAATACTCCGTTGCATACATACACTACCTCTTCTTTATCCATTCATCTGTCAATGGACATTTAGGTTGTTTCCATGTCTTGGCCCTTGTGAACAGTAACAGCAGGGTCTTCGTCGTGCAGAGCCTGCCTCCCCAGTGTGAGCAGGACATCAGACTGACTGTTCTCAGAGGTTGAAACTGCAGTTAAGTCTTGGTTTCCTGTGTTGGTGCAGATGACTCCATTTTGGGCTTGCTGTTTCTCTCTAACCAGTCACAGCTCAGTGTTTCACGATCCGCCGATATCCGCGTTCACAGCTGAGCCGCAGATTGTGTTCTGAATCCGTGTTTCTTCGCTCATTTCTCCTGCCTGGAGTCGACCAGTGTCAAGTTCCTTTGCTTTCAATCTCTGTTCTCGCCCAACACGCCTCCCACAGACAGACAGGCACTTCCTGCCCCAGTCTGCTTATTGTCCCCCAGGCTGGCTGCACAGCCGGCACCCCCTCCCTGTCACAGTTCTCTGGGACTTCCCTTCCCTCCTGGGTTTGCTCAGCCTCCTAGATGACTGTCTTCCCCTGTCAGTCACTCATTTGCTGAAACTCAGCATCCAGTAGCTTTCTATGATTCTACCACCACCAGGCAATGAACTCAGTGCTGATACTGTCTACCTGGAGGTAGTGTCTGACCCCACAGGTTCAGGGCTCAGCCCCACTGAACTGCCAATCACAAGTCTGTTGCTGTGGACACACCCATTTGTCCAACGTGCAGCAAACCAAATGCCGAGATGCTGAGGTTTGCAACTGTGCATTCAGGCCACCCAAGGTGGCTGCTCTCTGGCTCTCTGTACATCCCTGCTGGACCAGTCCCTGCCTCACCTACACCCCACTCACCTGACTCACCTTCCCTCTTAGTCATAGAGCCTAATCAGTAAATGCCTACATACTTGCCCCCTGGCTCCAGCTAGTGACGACTGTTCTAATCTTTAGATCAGAACTATCTATGACAGTTTATCAAAGGGGCGGTAAGGGACATGCCCCTTTGCTGGTTTCCCTGGTAACCAATGAGCCAACCTCCACGTTCTTGTAAAACAACTGGGCTACATGAAGCTGGGAGCGTATTCAATTAGAGAGAGGAAAAAAAGAAAGAAAGAAAACAATAACTAAAGTGAGCTACCTCAGTAAAGGTGGTTTACAAGCAGAGGGGTTTTAACAAGCTGTTCCCCAGTCTGCTGCTCTGCAAGACAACCTCAAGAACTCCTTTTAGCCGTCAGCTTCTGTTAACTCTGTGAACTCCAGGGGGCGTGGTTTCAGTCCCCCGAACCTTCTAAACTTTCCTCAGTCTTGAGGGAAGGGGGCCATGACCACTCTGGCTGCTTCCTGCTGAAGAGGGATGTAGGCCTAACAAAGCTTTGAGGAATGAAACTGTTTCGAATTTGATAGCAAATGCTCACAAATCCCAAGAGGAGGCCAAGACTTTGGGCTTAAGGATACAAGGCAAACAGCAAGTAGAGAGTTATGACAAAAAGGGATATAAATCCTAGCAAACACAAAACGATAATACCTAGTTTAACCAGTCCCTCAAACATAGACATAAACAAATATATATGCCTAGTTATCCACGTTGGGGAAACTAATCAGACTCAGTGAACAAGCACAGAAGTATGCTAGCAAGGAGACCTTTTATAGGCTATACATTTTATCAGTTATACTGAATTGTCAAGGAAACATTTTACATGTGCTTTTAGCAGTAGACTTAAAGCAAGCACTGGTACATGTCACGAATACGTATACTCTGTGACAACTTCACTAGAGAATTTTCTTTCCATCTGAACTTTGGGGGCAAAGGTATGGTTAGAAGTAAAACAATAACTTTAATGTTGATGGGGAGACAGACATTTGGTAAACAGTAAATTGAATTAGTAGAATGGGTCTGGTCCAGATTCTTGGGTCAGCTGTCTACAACTGCTGCCTTTTTCTCATCCTGGGGTGGGTGTTGTTTGGGTCAGCAGTCCTTTCTGTAGACCAGTCTGGTGCAGAGACCCCTCGTAAGTGGGAAATATGAACTCGAGTCAGTTCCCTTGTTTCACTGTGCTTGAGCTACTTATGAATACCTGATAAGGGTCCTTTCATCTAAGTTGGAGACAGAGCCCTTTAAATGATGACTTTGTTGTTGTTGTTGTTGTTGTTGTTGTTGTGATACGCGGGCCTTTCACTGTTGTGGCCTCTCCGGCTGCGGAGCACAGGCTCCGGACACGCAGGCTCAGCGGCCATGGCTCATGGGCCCAGCCGCTCCGCGGCACGTGGGATCTTCCCAGACCGGGGCACGAACCCGTGTCTCCTGCATCGGCAGGCGGACTCTCAACCACTGCGCCACCAGGGAAGCCCGAAATGATGACTTTTTTAGTATGTATAATCCCTGGTTGCAGGTCATGGGGCCTCTGATTTTCATCCAAAGAGAGATTCCTGTGATCAGCTTCTGAAACAAGCTTCCCTCTTCCCACTGGTAACCACTAGTTTGTTCTCTATATCTGTGAGTCTGTTTCTTTTTTGTCATATTCAGTAGTTTTATTTTTTAGATTCCACATATAAGTGATATCATACAGTGTTTATCTTTCTCTGTGTGACTTATTTCACGAAGCATAATGCCCTCCAAGTCCATACACAATGTCGCAAATGGCAACATTTCATTCTTTTTCGTGGCTGAGTAGTATTCCATTGTGTCTATGTATCACATGTTCTTTATCCGTTCATCTGTTGTGGACACAGCTTGCTTCCATGTCTTGGCTATTGTAAATGTGCTGCTATGAACATTGGGGTGCATTTAACTTTTCAAATTACGTCTTTGTTTTCTTCTGATATGTGCCCAGGGTTGGGATTGCTGGATCATATGGTAGCTCTATTTTTAGTTTTTTGAGGAACGTCCATACTGTTTTCCACAGTGGCTGCACCAATTTACATTCCCACCCACAGTACCTAAGGGTTCCCTCTCTGTTCTGTTCTTTGATGCACCTAATATGTTTTCATATCTTCAAATGTTTTAATTTTTCAAATTATTTTCTTAGTTTTGAGCTCACTTTTTATCTTCTGTTGTCTGATTTTCTTTGCTATCTTGCATTGGCTTCTGTTGTCTCTAACTCTATGCCAGTATAGATCTCTAGTTCACTTTTTTTTCTCCATTTCTAATGTTGAAATGTTGAATCCTTTCAGACCATCACTCATTTAATGGTGCCTGTAGGAAGGGTGGCAGTGGATACTGAGCTGGAACCAGAAGCTTTCATTCTGGTGCAGTTAAAAAACAAAACAGAGTTTTTACCCTTCGGGAGTCGTGCCAAAATGGTGACAATAAAATGGTTCTGTCACTGTGTCCCTGCTATAGTAATGAGTCCATCACAGCTTCAAGATGCTATTTCAGGCTTTTGTAGGAAAACAGAAAAAAGGCCCAGTTCTTGACTGCAGAGAACTTAAGAATCTAGGTTCACTTTCATTAGATTCTTAGGTGGATGCCCCAAATCTGAGCCCAGCAAGACGGGGGTGTTGGGGGGCGGGGGTGTCGAGGGGGCTCTTGTAGCTCCCAGCGGGCCAGAAATGACTTGAAATTAGCATGGCCAGGAGTGGTTTCTCGGCAGAAATATGCTGCTAGGGTTTCTCCAGGGGATGTTCGCTGAGGAAGAAGAACAGCCCATCAGAGGAGCTGTGCAGAGCAGGAGGGGCTCAGGTGTGGAGGCAGCTGGAAAGATGGGGCGGGCCAGCGTGAAGCCAGCTTGGAATGACTCACTGCCGATCCGGAGGGTTTACTGTCGGTACTCTGGTTCTTTAATGAACTGTGCGGACCTCATGAGCCATCCGCTGGGTGTAGGCTGGCTTTGGAGCAGGGCGTGGGGAGGAGCAAAGGGGAACCTGCGTCGTTCCCTGGTGGGCTCGCCTGCATCTGGTTCTGAATGGATCTTCGTGCAAATTGAGGGGAGAGGCGAGGGTGAAGGGAGAAACCTTGGGGCGGCTCTTCCCTCTAAAACAAATTGTGACGCAGCGGCATCGCCATCACCGAGCCTACCGATGGCGAGCTCATTATGGGATGCCAAGGCAGCTCGGGGGTCAGAGGACGTCTACAGTTTCTTTTCCCTTCATTAGTGAGGGAGAAACAGCATTGTCCTCTCCATTTCTCTGCTTTTAAAATTTACTTAAGTAAAAGCCACGAAAATCTCCCAGAAGGTTCTTGTGAATTCCAAGAAAGCAAAAAGAAATCTAGTTAATTAAATGTCTTAATGGTGCATCTGGTAACAGCCTATCTGAGGTCAGATTTGGAAACCATCTATTGTTCGAATTCTACCTTTTCGTGTAGACCGTGGGACGGCTTGTACTGAAGTTGTGTATTAAACTCTGTGTCCAGCTCATACAATCTGGGACGTTATTTTATTACTTCAGTGATGATATCCGTTTGTCACCGTATGTTGGGTTCATGTGGTGTGATCATTTCGATTCAGGACCCTTGATCAGGAATTCCACCTGGATGTCTCCGTGGGGAAATGCGACTGCTTTTCAGATAACCCCCGTGACATGCCTCTCCGATGCCGCGCGTGAAAGTGTTCACACAAGTGTGTGCCCGAGGCATAGCGAGGCCAAGCAAACTGAAATGTCAGAGTTCGGAGCAGAGAAAGGTTTTCTGCAGGGCCGCGCAAGGAGACGAGGTGGTCCAGGCCCTGAGAAGTCTCAAGCTCCCCGAAGGGTTCTGACAAAGCGTTTTTAAAGGCCAGGAGAGGAGGGTGTTGCAGGGTACGCGATCAGTTTGTGCGCAATTCTCTGATTGGCTGACGGGGAGGCAGCAGGGTGGTGTCACAGGGGTTAATGTGATCAGTCCTTAGGCTCCAGGAGACCTGGGGCCACATGTTCATGGTCGCTGAGTAGTTCTTCCATTTGGCGGTGGTGGTGGGGGGTGTTCACATCTGGAAAGCAACTCAGGAAATGGGCATCAACTACTGTCATCCAGGTACTTCAGAGAGGAGCTAACGCAGAGGCTATGGGGGGAGGCCTGTCCCAGGAAGGCCCCCATGGCGTCCTGGTCAGTTACAAAAGGGTGGGGAAGGCAGGCCGATGGTAGCAGAGCACCCAGCGTCTCGCTGTCACGTGGCCTGGGGGCCTCATCGCGCAGGCTCATACTGGCCTTTTTGCCTTAAATTGATGGCTCCTTTGCCAGCTCATCCGTTCCGAGCTCTCGTTTTGCTCTGCGTCTGGGTGCCGTTCTGCGTATTTCCCGGATGGTCCTTCTCACATCTGTGGTGGTTTCCTTTCCAGGCAAACAGAGGAATATTTTCTCCCCCGGATGATACAGGACCTGACAAAGCAGGTGAGTCTCAGAGAAGAAAACCCGTTCTTGGTCAGACGTCGCTCTGGGGTGGGCCGTGGGGGCAAGACCCGTCGGGTCAAAGTAACGGGCATCACCATGGCCCGTGTAAGGAGCACAAACAAAGGGGTGATGTCTGTAACAAGTGGGGAGGGTCCCGGGAGCAGAGGTGGGGGGACGGTGGGCGTCTCCTTTCCCCTGTGTCATGCCTGTCCTGTCGCTGCCCTCTCCTCTCCTCTGGCTCACTCAACGGGGTAGAGGGCTCAGGGGAGCCTGGGGGAAGGGGTTCCTGCCCCACCTTGGCCGGCCGGCTGTTCCCTGCTGGGCTGGGGCTCGGGCTTAGGGACTGCTCAAGAAGCCAGGTTTGGAGGGTTTCTAGTTATAAAACTCATGAAGGACTTTCCTTGGCTGCCTGTTCATTCTGTGAAAACTCAGCATCAGAAATCTGTCTTGTCCTGTCTTATCTTTTGCACCTGGCTGGCCAGGCCTGAAGAGCTTTGACTTTGCAGCCTTATCTGGGGACCTCGACCATCCCCTTCGTCCTGGAAGCTGCTGCGGTGGGACAGCTGGGACCCGGTGCTGTCCACTTCCTGCGGGGCGTTGAGAGCCAGGGGCACAGAGCGGGTGTTTCGGGGGGGCCCTGATTTCTCTGGCTCCTGCTTGAGTTTCCATTCTGGTTGCCAAGTGTATCAGTTTGTTTAGGCCACCATAACCAGGCACCACAGCCTGGGTGGCTTAAACAACAGACATTCACTGTCTCCAGTCCTGGAGGCTGGAATCCCAGATACAGGTGTGGGCAGGGCTGGGTCCTCCTGAGGCCTCTCTCCCTGGCGTGTAGACAGCCGTCTCCTCCCTGTGTCCTCACGGGGTCGTCCCTCTGTGTGTGTCTGTGTGCTTTTCTCCTCTTCTCATAAGGACACCAGTCACATTGGTTTAGGGCCCCACCCTAGTGACCTCATTTTACCTTAATCACCTCTTTAAAGATCCCCATCTCTAAACACAGCCACATCTGAGGTGCTGGGTCTTAGGGCTTCCGCACATGAATTTCGGGGACACGGTTTAGCCCATGACACCCAATTCTCTGCACCCCTCACTGTTGCGCTCAAGGTGGCTCATGGGGACACACTGAACCTCCGCAGTGGAGCAGGTCAGCAGGGACGCATCTGGACCTCGGGGATGGATCTGGGGGGTGGGACAGGAGTGCCCTTCTCCCCGATCCCACCAGCCCCCAGACCCCTTTCCTCTTTATGCCAGGGGTCTCCGCCTGCCTCTCACTTCCCTGGCCCTTGGGCCAAGATCACCGCTGCTTGGGAGCCAGATTAAGTCACTGGCACCGGTTCTGATCCCTAAGAGAGGATGTCTGGGGTGCCAGCTTGGGTTGGTGCCCCCCGCGAGGCAGTCAGGGCTGGGCACAGCTGAGGCTGGGGACAGGGGCTTTCAGCCAGGTCTGGTCGCCTCCTGTGTGACCTGGAAACTTTTCTGACCGTGAATTGCAGCAATGGGAACAATTTAAGTGCATCGTGATCCAGACACAGTGAGTGTGTGTGTGTGTGTGTGTGTGTGTGTGTGTGTGAAACAAACATTTCAGCAGCAGTCCCCCTGCTGCGAGAAAGCCTCCCTTTCGTTCTTCTAGGACCCTTTGATATCCTAGAAAACATGCCAGGTGACCCCCCTAAACCAGCGTGGGGGCCACCTGCAGGTGGAAGGACGCTGCTTGGTGTCCCTGGTTGAGAGCAAGTTGCAGAAATTGGCCCTGGGTGCAAGTGGATTAAAGTTCAGGGGAGTTTTCAAGACACAGGGCAAACCAGCCCCGTAACTGCTGTAACCTGGATGATTCAGGTCAGGGGCCCGTCACCGAGAGCCCCCCTGCATGCTTTGCTTATCACCCTGTTGCCCCGAGCCCTGGTCTTGTCACAGGAAGTTGGAGTCAGGATTCCAGCCCTAACCCTGTGATAAGGAATGCGAGGCACCCGTTGCAGGGTGTGCAGGGGTCCCGGGACGGCCAGCTCGGGGTCCTGGCTGAGGGCTGTGTCCGTGGCAAGAAGCGTCAGAACAGAAAATGCCAGGCCTGCCCCTCGGTTCTTGCCCTTGGTGATAAAGGGGGTTGAACTCACTAACACACACGTCAGGGGACCCAACCAAGAGTGCTGGGATGCGGTCCAGGCCCGCCAGGATGATTTTTTGGCTCAGTGAAATGGCAGCGCAGCTGAAACTTGGTCCCCGAGAGAGGAGGCCAAGGTGGGCCCCACGCCCGGGTGATCCTGTCAGCACTTGCTCATCTCGGTGACTGCTCAGACCGGTGCGGCAGCCTCAGGGGCAGCTCCGTCCCTGCCCTGGAAGCTCCCACCCCTCGGGGGACACGAACGTAGCTCCTAGAGACACAGGGACCCTGCGTCCTGCCCCAGCCCTGCCGTTCAGGGGCTGGATGACCCGTCGGCTGGCGTGAACTTTGTAAGAGCTCAGTCCGTTCGTTTCTGACATGGGGATGGGACCCCCAGGAGCACAGATGATGTCAGAAGAGCACCCAGCCGATGCTGCTGCCGCTGGCCGTCTGGGCCCGTGGAAGCTTCAGGAACCGAGTCACAGTTAGCGGCAGCCACACTCAAGCTTGTGGCAGCTCAGCTCGGCTTCCAGGTGTGACTGAGGCCCTTGGGTCAGCGGAGGAGCTGCCTGCTGGCCCCTGGGCTGGGCACGCTCCGGGTCGAGGAGGAATTCATTAGTACTTGAAACAAAATCGTGGCCTTCATGCAAGTCTCATGCGTGACATCTGGCGTCCTGGTTCAGTACCTGGCCCAGACGGGATGGCCAAGGGGTCTCAAGCGCTCTGGTCTCCCGACCCAGGAAACCGTGCCCTTTGGGGATGCTGTCCTCTCCACCCAGGACACGTGCATCGGGAGTGAGGTCTGCGAGGAACTCTGGACACCCCACAGGTCAGCCTTGCCCTCTGCGCCATAGATCCCATCCTCGCTGGGCCCCGGAGGATTGGAGGTTTGCAGCCTTCCTGGTGTCATGGCCTGGGGCTGGGGAGATGCCCTGGGAGCTGTGGGGCTGGGAGGGTGGTTTGGGGACACCGGTCTCTTTGCCCTCCCCTGCCCACAGCCCACACGTGGACATGGGCCTGGACGGCGTGGAGATCTTCACCAATGCCTCAGGCAGCCACCACGTGCTGCGCAAAGCCCACGCCAGGGTGGACTTGGTGACCATGGCCACCACCAAGGTAGGTGGCGGCAGGGATGCTGGAGCGTGTCTGTCTCACGCTTGTGACCCCAGCGCCCAGCGCTGGGCGGGGCCTGAGCGTGAGGATGCTCGGTGCTTCTGGTCACAGCCGCAGCCGATCGGTGTGCGTGACGCCCCTTCCCGGGCCCCGCTTGCCTGACCTCATTTAACCCTCAAAACTGCCCTACGGGCCAGGTGCTGTTGACACCTCTGCTCTTTGGAGCAGGACACTCGGTACATGGCGGTCAAGTGGCCCCTGGGCTCACACCCCAGCCATCCGGTTCCTGGGCTCTTGACCATCATACTGGTCTCAGGACAAGTGACATGGTGACCGGGAACCAGAATGCCCGTTGGCACCACAGCAAGGCACGGGGAACGCCCACGAGTTTGCCCCTCTTGCTGGCAGCGTGACACCAGGGGCCGTGTTTGCTCTTCCCTGGGACAGAGTCTCAGCTTCGTGACCTGGGGGTTTTGTCTTCTCTGAAGCTGCATCTCTCCTCCTGTCTGGTGGAGGTGACAGCGCCTGCCTTGAAGGGTAGTTGGGAGGCGAGAATGAATGATTCGTGTGATGCCTGGTACCTTGGAAGGCCGAGAGCACCATAGCTGCAGACGTTCCCTGGAGGCGCACATTTTCTTGCTGGGGTGGGGGGGCTAATTATGACACAGTCGCAGGGGCGTCTGAAGCTTCGTGTGTTTGGGCCGGAGGAGGGTGAAGGTGACGGACCACAGTTGACCGTTGCCGTCCCCTGCATTTTCCAGAACGGCGGGATTTACTTGCTGGCCAATCAGAAGGGCTGTGACGGGGACCGGCTGTACTACGACGGCTGTGCCCTGATAGCCATGAACGGCAGCATCTTTGCCCAGGGGTCCCAGTTCTCTCTGGACGACGTGGTACGAACCAGCCCGCGTGGGATGGCGGGAGGGTCTCTGGTTCAGGGGCTGTGTTCTCTGTTCTCCCCCATGACGGGGGGTCTGACGTGGCCCCCGTGGTGGGTCCTGCTGGTTTTGATTGCTTCCTCTTCACCTCCTTGGTTCGGGAGGGATTCTCACCCTGAGGTTACGGGGACCGCCCGCACAGCACGCCGGACGGATGGGATCCCCAGCAGTTTATCAGCCCCACGTGCCCTGCAGGGTCCCCCCGAGGCTGCACTTGGAGCTGAGGGAGAGGCCAGGAGCTGCAGGAGCGGGCTTTGTAGTGACAAGAGGGGTGACCCCTGGTTCCCGGGAGGATGTGATGGGCTTGTTTGAAGAATCCCACAGCCGGGGCTGGCGGGGAACTGGAGCCAGTCCTCAGGAATGAGGAGGCACCGTGCCTGGTCCCCGTGATGAAAGCGGAGCCCGTCCGTGGGGGCGGATCCAGGAGGGGGCTTGCAGGTGGGCCATTAGGGGGTTTTCCCCAGAAATCAAGGCAGCACACGTTCCCTGTGGGCCCTGCCCCGTGGGTTCTGGAAGCAGCATTGGAGACCCCCACCCTCCTCATTCTGGGGGGCGCCCTGGTCTCACTGGACTGATGACCAGCTGGGCGCGCGGGGGGGCACGTCCCCCCAACGTTGTTGTAACCTCACTGGAGCCACAAATATGAAAACTGCACACCCTCTGCTTCTGAAAACACATTAACGTGAGTACAGAGCTTTCCCATGTGATTGGACATTAGTTTCCTTTACAGAGAGAATAAGACAAGATGAAAAGGTGCTTGTAGAGAATCGTGTGGCTCTCCCTGTTGGTTTTTTTTTTTTTTTTTGAGCACCCAAGAAGGAAAATGGCTGTTACTGCCCCAAAAATGGGAATAGATTCCACTTCCGCAAACGCAACACAGCGTAACTTTCAGTGCTGCCGGGAAGGGTCACTCTTACTGGGCTCAGACAGTCAGTACAGGTTTCACATGGCATCGCACATCTTGTCTTTGGATCCAACTTGGGTTTTTTTTGGAAACAAGTGTTGGAAATGCTCATTCACAGAGGCAGGTGGTAGCAAAAAAAAAAAAAAAAAAAGTCTCCGGGGGTTGCTCTGCGGGAGCAAAAGGCAAGCGGTGTCACGGAATAAGAAAGTCTCCAGGACCCTCTGTTGTAACTTCTGTCGCTTCACCTCCTTGGCATCCACGCAGATGAGGTGATGTTTCATGCCTTCCGCAGTCTCCTTGGGGTTGTTGGCAAGGAAGTGGTTATGAAACCAAACTTCGGTTTCAAAATGGGCCGAGGAAAGGAACTTTGAAAAGAATCCCATGGTGTTTTCTTGCCCAGAGGGAAGCCCGAGGTTTGGCAGTCTGGGCCCCGGCAGCGGGAACACTCCGTCTCCCTGCAAAAGTCGTCCTGATCGTGGTCCCTCAGACCTTGCTTTCCAAGTGGCTGCGTCCCCAAAGGCGTCCTGTTGTTCAGTATTAACCATGTTAAAGACGGAAGGGCGTTGGAGGGGAAGATGAAGTCCATGCAGACGGCTAGGTGTTCATCTGCTCCAAACATGCTTCAGTGCACGTCGGTTTGGCCAAAACACTCAGCCAAACGTCAGAGCCTCAGGCACCCGGTGGCAGGATTCACTGGCAGGTGGGTTGAGGGGCTCCAGGATGAGCAGGCGTGCAGGTCACTACACGTTCTGGACCCCGTCCAGGCCCCCCAAGGAGCCCCCATTTCAGCAAGCACACAGGTGATTCTTCGCCAGACAGAAACCTGGGGACCGTTGTCTCCCGCCCCCCGGAGGGGGCTTTCGAGCCAGAACTCTCTGATTTTGCCTGAGTGTTGGGGACAGAGGGGGCATCACTGCCCTGCGGCCAGGGCCGTGCCCTTCTGTCCTGCCACCCCCTCCGTGGTCAGCTGACCTTCTCGAGGGCACATGCTTCTCACAGCCTCGATCGAGCCTTTGTGCAAGGCTAACCGAGTTCTGGGGAAAGTGGACTGGAGCCTTCTTCTCAGGAAGGGTTCACTCCTCCGGCGTCTCCTCACTTTCTGTGGCTTTGTCAAGGCAGCCCGGCGGCTTCAGTGACCCGTCACTTGGGAAATGACAGGAGAACCAAAGGACGCGGCAGCTCTTTACTCTCTGTCTCTTCACGGGTGTTTCCAGCTTGGGTTAGGCCCACTGCTGACACAGGTAGCTGTCCACAGCCCAGCGGCAGGAGCGGGGGCCCAGCCACCCTGTGTCCCCCAGTGGTGCCCAGAAGCAGTTCTTGCTGTCCTGCACCTGTGTGTATGAGACAATGTCCTCATAATATAATTTGATTAGTGTTTTTTTCTTCATAAGGGAAGGAGTAACGTCTATGAGTTAAAACTTTTCCCTTTTCTGTAATTTGTTGCAAGTGGCAGAACCCCCATCTCATCTGGGTTCGAAGGAATGAAGCATCATCTCCTAGAGCACAGGCAGCACATCCAGGCCAGGATCCCAACGCGGTGACTGCCGGGGCTCTGGCTCCACCCCTCCGTCACTCTCCATCTGGGCCTTCCTCTGTGTGGGCTTCATTTTCAGTTGCCTCTTGGTCACAGGATGGCTGCAGGAGCTCCAGCCATGCATCTTCATGCAGCCCCGTTCAAAGGCAGAAGAGGGGCCCTTGCTCCTCGTGTGTCTTTTTAAGAAGCTGTCTCAGAAGCCCCAGCAGACATTTATTGACAGGATTGTGTCCCGTGCCGTGATTAACGAATCACTGGCAATTCAGTGGAGGTTCCCGTGGCAACGACAAGAGGAAAGGGCTTTGGGTCGGCAGCACCACTGGCTGTCCCCTCTCCCTGGACCCCCAGTCCCTGCCTTAGAAGGCATAACTCATCGGGTGCCATCTGGCACACCTACGAAAACAAATTAGACGTGTGAGTGAAAAACAAAACAGAACAGGAAATCACGATTTCTCTTTGAAACTCCCTTCTCCAGGAAGTCCTCACCGCCACGTTGGATTTGGAGGATGTCAGAAGCTACAGGGCAGAGATTTCATCTCGAAACCTGGCGGTAAGTGCTCATAGACACACACGTGGGATGCGCATCAAAGACCCAGAATTTTTTTTAATAACAGCTTTATTGAGATGTCATTCCCTTACCACACAATTCACGGATCTCGGCACACAGTTCAGTGGATTTTAGTGTATTCGTGGAGTCAAGCAGCATCACCACAATCAGCGTCAAAACATTCTCATCACCCACAAGAAACCCGGACCCACGAGCTGTTACTCTCCGTCCACCTCCCCCAGGGCCCCCGGCAACCATCAGTCTGCATTGTCGCTATGGATTTCCCAATTCTGGACGTTTCATAGAAATGGAATCATATCATATGTGGCCTTTTGCGTCTGACTTTTTTCGCTGAGAATAATGTTTTGTGGTTCGTCCATGCTGTAGCGTGTGTTAGTGCTTTATTCCTTTTTACGGCAGAATAATATTCCACTGAACGGCTCGACCACGTGCTGTTTGTCCATTCACCTGTCGGTGCACGTCTGGACCATTTCCACTCTGTCTGTGATGAATTGTGCTGCTGTGGACGTATGCCCGGGTGTCCGTGTGGACGTGTTTGCGTGTCCTTTGTTACATACCTGGGACTGGACTGCAGCGTCCTGTGGTGGTTCCCTGTTTGACTGTAGGAGGCCCTGCCAGGCTGTCCTCAGCCACTGCCCATCTCACGTCCCCCCAGCACTGTGCAAGGGCTCTGGGTTCCCCACATCCCTGCCAGCGTTTGCTACATCCGTCTCTGTTCTGGCCGTCCTGGCGGCCGTGAAGGGTCCCCAGTGGGGTTCTGAGCTGTGTTCCCCACTGGCTGCAGTCATCCCAGGGGCCTGTACGGGTAGCAGCGCTGAGGGGTTGTCCTTCCCAGGCCAGCAGAGTGAGCCCCTACCCCCGCGTGAAGGTGGACTTCGCCCTGTCCTGCCACAAGGACCTGCTGGAGCCGCTCTCTGAGCCCATTGAGTGGAAATACCACAGTCCCGCCGAGGAGATCAGGTGGGGCCCTTGGGAAGCTGGGGGTGGGGGTGGTCCTGTTGTCCCCCGGGGAACCCCCCATCCCCTGCTGCACCGCCAGGTGGCGCTGCGGGGCCAGCGTGTCCTGGTCTCCAGAGCCTGCCCTTGACGCTGCAGCCAGAACCCCTGGCCCACACCCAGCCCTGCCACTCCTCGCCCTGGGCCCTTGGGCACAGAGACGCTGTTCTTGCCTTCCTGTGCCATTTCACAACCGGGCCAATGATAGCACCTGCCCCCTGGGGCTGTTTTGAGATTTCAAATGAAATCATTCACGCGAAGTGCTTAAAACAGAGACCTGGGCGTCGTGCTGGCGGCTCTCACGGGCGCAGCGCCCACCTTGGCACCTGCCCCCAGGTGAGCTGTGGACCAGGTCAGCAGTTCCCCATCCTAATGCTTCCCATCGTTCCCCAGCCTCGGACCCGCATTCTGGCTCTGGGATTTTTTAAGACGTAGCCAACAGGTAAGGCATCAGTGTCTCACCACCTCCCTCTGCTTCTCCCAGTTGGTTTGCGTTTGATCCTGCGGCAGGCTGGTGACTTTTTTTTTAATGCAAGCATTTCATGGCTCTGCTTCCGTCGGGAGCCTCAGCTACACTAGACAGAGCCCAGAGGTCCCGCTGAGCTCTGGCTCCGTCTTTGGGGTCCTGTCTGATGACACTGAGTTACGAGACTCCACGTCTCCTGCCGCTTTCGTGATCGTGTGTGTCTGTTGTAATTCACCGTGGAGACCCAGCCTTAGACCCTCCACAGTGGAGGTCCCTTTGCCTTCTAGAAAGTCCATCCTGGAACGTGCAGGGCATCTTTTCCCCTCCCCCAGGGAGAGTATTTTGTGGGCGCTCATTTTTGCAGGGGGAGCCGGGCGCATCTGGGGGCGCATTGCTTCCCAGAGGCCCTGCTCACACCCCCGTCTGGTCGGCCCGTTCCAGGCGGGGTTCTTCCTGCCCCTGAGCGGCGGGGTGGACAGCGGGGCCACCGCCTGTGTCGTCTACTCCATGTGCCACCAGGTCTGCGAGGCTGTGAAGCGCGGAAGTAGGTGACGTCTGGGGCCCGAGCAGTTTCCAGGGGGTCAGCCTGTGGGAGGAGCAGAGGGGAAACCCAGGTCCTGGGCCTCGTGGTGGAGGTCGTATTCAGAGGTCACAGCGTCACGCCCGAGTCCCAGGGCCTGGGGACAGCAAGGCCGTTAAAGTCCCTTCCAGGGCCCACGTGGCTGTGTCCATCAAGCCACAGGTGCCCGTCGCTGCCGTGTGTCGGCAGTGTGGCCCCAAGGAAAGAACAAACCCACGTTCACACCCTGTCGCTCTGTGCGGTGACATCGGCCATTCCCTCAGTGTCCGCGGCCGAGAAACGGGCATCGCAGGGCCGATCTGACGAGGTTCCCGGGCGGTGGAGAAGGGATTAAGTGGTGCAGGCACCTGGCACACGGCACGTGCGCTTCTGTCCGGTGGTTTTCAGGTCAGGAAGTGCTGGCCGATGTCCGGACCATTGTGAACCAGACCAGCTACGCCCCCCAGGACCCCCGGGAGCTCTGCGGCCGCATCCTGACCACCTGCTACATGGCCAGTGAGAACTCCTCCCGGGAGACGTGCAACAGAGCCAGAGATCTCGCGCAGCAGATCGGAAGGTAGCTGGTCAGTGGCGTCGGACGCGGCCAGGTGGCGGTGACGGCGGGCAGCTCCCCCCAAGGCCACGTTTGTGGGTCAGTGAGCACCCCAGAGGCGAGCGGGTTCCCTCCTCACCCCCCTCCAGCTGGGAGCACAGGCAGGCCCTCGCCCGTCCCGGGAGCGTGAGCCGCCCTCTGCCCGCTTCCACCTGGAGGCCTCTGTGCCTGAGGAAGGTGGAGAGAAGGCATCTTGCCACACAGGGAGACTCGGCTCCATTCAGAACGTCCCATTTATTCTGCCTCCAAGGGAAAAACAAGAGGCTGCCCATTCTGTACGCGGAGCTCAGCTGAAAGCTGTCCCCGCGCAGCACTTCTGCTCCCAGGGAGATGCCCAAAGGAAGTGAAAGCAGGGACGTGAACAAATATTTACACATTTGGGTCCGTGACAGTGTATTCACAATGGGCAGAACAGCTCAAACGTCCATCGACAGCTGAGTAGGTAACCAAGAGGTGGTTACGAGGGGGCGGTATTCAGCCTTAGAAAGGAGCGAAGCGCTGACACAGGCTACGACATGGATCAGCCTGGAGGGCACCATCCTGAGTGAGAGAAGGCAGTCACGAAAGCACAGATCTTGTGTGGTTCCATTTCTCTGAAATGTCCAGCCCATGCAGACCCACAGAGACAGACAGTGGGTCAGGCGTCCTCGGGGGCTGGAAGAGGAGGGGGTGGGGAGAGACCGCTCGTGGGCACAGGGTTTCCTTCTGGGCTGATGGAAAGCTCTGGAACTGGAGGTGGCGTCGTCAGTGTCCTCGATGCTGCTGAGTGGGGCACTTGAAAATGGTAAGTTCTGTGTTCTGTGTTTTTGTTTTACCATCTGCACGCCTTCCCTTCCTCTCCCCAGCCACCACATCCGTCTCAACATCGACCCGGCCGTGAAGGCCGTCGTGGGCATCTTCAGCCTGGTGACGGGTAAAAGCCCTGCGTTTGCAGCTCACGGAGGAAGCAGCCGGGAGAACCTGGCCCTGCAGAACGTACAGGTGTGCCTCCCAGATGGGGCCACAACGGGGGCCGCAGGGAACCCGGGGGACAGCCGGCACTGGGGTCAGCAGCCTGCCTTAGAGACCCTGAGTGTGCAGCCTCGCGACAAGGATGGGGGTCTGCGTGCGTGTGCGTGCGTGTGCGTGAGAGTGTGCGCATCAGCGTGAGGGTTTGTGAACGTGGCGTGTGTGCAAGTGCGTGCATTTTCTGCGTCTTTGGGGGGCGGCTCAGACGCAGCCCCACCTTCCAGGCGGCTGCAGGGGAGCTGGACCCTGCGTGGTCTGTGGAGGGAAAGAGGGGGCCTGGGCTACAGCTGCCTGGGTCTGTCCTGTCTCTCTGTCCCCTTTCTGCGGGTGAGGGTGACCTTGCCGAGCAGTGCAGGGAGTGACAGGAGGGACCACGGTCTCCCCCGCTGGCTTTGCAGCCCTGTCTCACCGCGGCCTCGGGCTTTGGTCCTTCCATCTCTGTGGCTAAGCGCAGGAGCCCACGGTGTGGGTGAGGGGACCACGAGCTCCCGGCCCCTCTGGACGCTGGAAGCTCCTGCATCACTTAAACTTTCCTGTGCTCCTGAGGTTGCTGGGAGAGCCCCTGCCCCAAGGTGCAGGGAGGTGGTGTTAGCATGCGCGTGCCCCGCCCCCGCCCCGCGCGGATGACGTTCCCCTCCTGTGGTCCAGGCGCGGGTGAGGATGGTCATTGCCTACCTCTTCGCTCAGCTGAGCCTCTGGTCCCGGGGCGCCCCAGGCAGGCTTCTCGTGCTCGGATCTGCCAACGTGGATGAGAGGTGTGTATGCCCTCGCTCTGCACGAGTCCCCTGGTTGACCCGCGGCCGCTCCGGCCGGGTCTGTATCTCCCTTAGCTCCTGATGCCCCTTTGAGAGCAGCCGAGGGGGGGAAGGGGCACAGGGGTCAGGTGCAAACGATGGTCTCTTCTGGCCTGTAAACCCTGGCCCTTGCCCACGGACCGGACCCTGTTCCTTCCGTCAGCCATCCGTTTAACGGGACAGGGAGTGATGTTACACCCACCTCGGGGTTGCTCGAAGGAGCCCCGCTTAGGGCGATGCAGGTTTTAATCACCCCTGTCTGGGATCCAGGGGGTCTTACACTCCGGCTTTGCACCCTCGTGGGAGCCTGGAGGGCTGAGTGTTTGGTCTTTCTCTTGAAAAGTGGGGAGAGGTCAGCCGTGTGAGTGCAGGTGGGACAAAGGCCAAACAGTACCCACAGCACAGGTCAGCAATGGCCTTGTGGGGGGGGAGCTTGGGATGCGAGTGGAGAGCTGCAGTCATCCAGTGGTCCAGCGAGAATATGGTAGCGGTGGTGGCGGGGTGGAGAGGGACGGACGCATCGAAGGGGTGAGTGTCGTGGGGTTGAGGTGACAAGTGGGCACAAAGTCGGCGGCTCCAAGGCGCCAATGAATTATCTTACAGTCCAGTAGGTTAGGGGTTCAACACGGGCCTCACTGGGCCAGAGTCAAGGTGGCACGGGGCCGGTTCCTTCTGGAGGCTCCGGGAGAGGCACAGGGCCGGTTCCTTCTGGGTTCGGTAGGATAGGGGTTCAGCACGGGCCTCACTGGCCCAGAGTCAAGGCGGCACGGGGCCGGTTCCTTCTGGAGGCTCCGGGAGAGAAGCTGTTACTCGCCTTTTCCAGCTGCTGGGGGCGCCTACATCCTTTGGCGTGTGGCCCCTTCCTCTGTCTGCAGAGCCCGTGGTGCAGAATCTGTGCGCCTCTCCTGTGGCCACAGCTCCCGCTGACTGACGCCCCCCCCCCCCGCCAGTTCTCTCTTCCACATTTAAGGACCCTTGTGCTTGCATTTAGGGCCCACCCCATAATCCAGGGTAATCACCCATCTCAGGGTCCTCAACCTCACCTCATCTGCGGAGTTGCTTTCACCCTGTATGTGTGTGTGTACAGGTTCCGGGTATTAGGATGTGGGCATTTGGGGGCCACTCTGCCCACCGCAGGAGGTGTCTGGCAGTGGGGAGGCGGCCCTGCTTCTGTGGGCTCAGCGTCCATGCCTGAGGTCCTGCCCCTCCCTCCCGAGGACCTCCATCCCTCAGCTCCGCACTCTGCTGGCCCCAGCCCTCCCTCCCAGACGGGCCGCTTGCAGGTGGCTGCTGGTCAGTCCCCAAGCTGCTTCCCGGCCCAGACGTCTCGTCCGGCTTGCTGGATCCTCCTCCTTGGCTGTCCGTAGCCTCTGCCCCTTCCCCAATCTGCCCCAGCACATCAGGCTTCTCCAAGACCCTTGAATCTGCCAAGCTCTGGCCCCAGGAAGAAGCCAGTCTTCGGATGCCCAGGGACTGGATGGCCAGGCCCCCAGGGTCGTGGAATCTGCAGCCCCTCGGGTCTGCTGCATGGAAACCGCGCGTTTTTCTCCTGCTGCAGCCTCCTCGGCTACCTGACCAAGTACGACTGCTCCAGCGCAGACATCAACCCCATAGGCGGGATCAGCAAGACGGACCTGAGAGCCTTCGTCCAGCTCTGCATGGAGCGCTTCCAGCTTCCCGCCCTGCAGAGGTGCGTGTGCGCCCACGAGGCCTCAGCCGTGGCCCCTGAGCCACCGGGTATGCGTCTCGGCACAGCCCCGGGCCGCCCTCGCCCCACTCAGCCCCCTTCCATAGCTCCCATCTCCTGATGGAAACAGTCCTGCCCTTCAGGCACGCTTGGGGTCCCGAGACCAGGCACCCCCTTCCTTCCCGTCGGTGCTGCCCTGGCTCTGGCCAGATCAGGCAGCCGCTGCTTCCCTCTTCCCCTCACCACCCTTCTCCCGCTGTCGTAAGGCCGGGAGGTCTGTGTATCCCTCCGTCCTCGGGCTGAGCACTGCCTGGTGCTTTCATGGTGTCTGTTGAGTTAATACGCAGGTGTTGTGACTGACCTCTGTGTGTCTTGGCCGCAGCATCCTGGCAGCACCGGCCACTGCCGAGCTGGAGCCCTTGGCCCACGGACGGGTGTCCCAGACTGACGAGGTAACGACGGTGGCTTTGTCACTGTGCTTCTTCCCCCGCCTCCCTGCTGCTGGGTTCCTTCATGGCCTCCTTTCTGCCCCAACAAGCCATGCTCCATCGCTGGGTCCCGGCCTGGGAGCCCAGGGCTCAGCGTCATCCATGGCTGGCCTTCAGTGTTCAATTCAGGTCTCTCGAGGTTGGAGCCGGGAGGGAGGTGATGAGGCGAGTGGTGGGGGTGGGGCTCGGTTCCATCTCCAGCAGAAGTTTTAATCTGTCCCCCAGCGCTGACTTGCTGTCACTCATGAGACGCATCTCTTTTGTCCCCAGGAAGACATGGGAGTGACCTACGCGGAGCTGTCGGTCTATGGGAGGCTCCGGAAGATCGCCAAGATGGGGCCCTACAGCATGTTCTGCAAACTCCTCTACGTGTGGAAGGACGTCTGCACCCCCAGACAGGTAAGCCATGTGCAGTGTCCTCAGGGAGTCGGCAGGTAAGGTCACCTTGTGGGTGGAGTTGACTCAGGAGCAGGTGGCCACGGTGTGACCTTAAGATGAGAACAGTCTCTCTCTCTAAGGAGCTACGGTCCAGTTTCAGGCTCCCAGCAGCCCAGGCCTTCCTTCTGCGCTGGCTCAGTTTGTCTGGGTGGGGCTGGACCCCATCGTAGCGAGCAAGCTCCTCCTTTTTGGGGGGCAGGGGGCGAACTCTGAGGTCGGAATATCGCTGCTTCTCTGCGAGTTGTCAGGCTCCTCAGGGCCGAAGCCCACAGACAGAGCGGTCCCCGCAGAACCGCCTGGAAGCCTCGTGAGATACATCTTCCCGGGACCCCTGACTGGGTCTCCTGATGCAGCTTCCGGGGTGCTGGAGTCAGGAGACCGCGTCTTCAAAGTTCATCCCGCTGCCCCAGCCCGAGCAGTGGCACCGGTCCACTCCTGCCTTCGGGGGGTCCAGACGCAGCCGTGTTGCAGGGGGTGGGTGCTGTTAGCCGCACAGCCCAGGGCAGTGCTGCCGGGAGCACCAGCCTGGGGTCTTTCCGGCTTTGCCAGCATCAGACCCTGTGCATCCCTCGCCTCCCAGGTGGCCGACAAAGTGAAGCGGTTCTTCTCGAAGTATTCCACGAACAGACACAAGATGACCACACTGACCCCCGCGTATCACGCCGAGAGCTACAGCCCAGACGACAACAGGTTCGACCTGCGGCCGTTTCTGTACAACGCCCGCTGGCCTTGGCAGTTCCGCTGCATAGAAGCTCAGGTAAATCAGGCAGAGATGCTTTTTCTCCCGGTTAAAGGTCTGTGGAGGGAACATCAGCTCATTTCCGTTGAGGACCGAGAAGCTTTTTAATATACACGGTGGCGTTTTTTAGCGTCCGTCTTTCTGCAGAGGATCCAGTACGTTTCACGTCAGTCAGAGCATGAGCTATTTTGGGCTGTGCTAAGGATGCTAAGCTCAGGGCTACAACACTGTGTCAGTGTGGTACCAACCACTGTCATTTCTAGACTACCAGGGTATCCAACTGGCTTCACATTTTCCTTTTCTCCCCTAATTACCTAATAACAGAGCCATCTCGCCTGAGAATTCAGGCTTCTTTTATCCTAACAGGGGAGGGACTAGAGTCAAACATTTCCTGGCCCCAGAGGGGATGTGTTTTTTTCTTCCTCCCTGCAGCCATTCATAGGTGGGCCTGGTCAGGATGTTTCCCGTGAGCTAAACAAAGGTATTTTAGCTTCCTGTTCGAGACCTGGGAGGCAGGGTTGGGCCAGAGGTGGGCCATTTTGTATAATTTAAGCTTATAGGCAGGATCCCTTTAGTGACAGCTAGTGCAGCGGCCGGAGCTAGCCGGTGGGGAGCGGGGAGCAACCATGAGGAGATGACGTGCACACCGAGATGGGACGCAAGCAACGCTGCACGTCCGTGGCCGTGGCCCTCCTCCAGGGGTCGTCAGGCAATGTCTGGAGACATTTTTGGTTATCGTACCTGGGGAGGGGTCTGTGCTGCCGCATCTAGTGGGCGGAGTCCAGGGATGCCGCCAAAACACCCCGTAGTGCACAGCCCAGCCTTCTCCCCCCGCCAGGTATTAGTCAGCCGTGGGGCCTCGCTTCCACCAGTACGCACTCAGGAGTGGGTTCCCTCACATCAGGCCTGGGGTTCAGAGGGTGTGCCAGGACCCTCAAATGGAGAAAAACACATGTGGGTAAAGACGGAACTCACCTGGAATCTTCTAGCCCAGCAGCGACCCCCGTGCCCGGGCCAAGGCACATCCTTCCGGACTCTGGATCCACCCACGTCTCATCACTGAAGATGCTGTCGGAGGACCTGCTTTTTCAGTCCCGTGACCGCGACCCTCTTCCGGGTGAATCGGTGCATCGCGACGGCCTCGCCGTTCAGGTCCTCGTGGTGACGCTGCATCTTCTCTTTTAGGTTCTCCAGCTGGAGAGCAGACAGCATCAGGACCTGGACGGCGTGGACTGAGCCCGGGTCCTGCGCAGACGGCTCCCCTCCCGTGAGGATGCTCGTGCTACGTCTGCCTTGCTGGTGACTGTGCAGGAGTGGCTGGCGTGTCGACAAGCCCCGTCTGACATATTTCAGGGAGAGGGATCTTTTCGGTCTAGTTTCTTTAAAAAAGGCTGAAATACAAGAGGATGCGATTTTAAACCCTCTTCTGTTTTTTTTTAAATTAATTTTTATTGGCGTATAGTTGATTTACAATGTTCTGTTAGTTTCTGCTGTACGGCAAAGTGAATCAGCCATACGCATACATATATCCGCTCTCTTTTAGATTCTTTTCCCATGGAGGGCATTACAGAGTCTGAGTAGCGTTCCCTGTGCTGTACAGCAGGTACTGGGATGGACACACCCAGACTACTATATATAAACCCTCTTCTTGAAGCGAGCGCTTTCCCCAGCCCCTCTGGCCCTTGTGCAACATCTCCTCCGAGTGTCACCTGAGCTGAAGGAGGATTTTCCAGGTGGGGATGGAGGAGGCCCTGGGGGGTGGAGGGTGGTTCTAGAACGACTGTCCCCGCCCGTCACCCACCCTTGCAATCTCTGTAGTTTTGCAGAGCAGCCCTTTCTCCTTTTCTGCCTCTGTCCTTGTGTGTGATTCTTCTCACTGTAAATGGGCCCATTTCCCAGATTTCTCTTTCCTGGTCACTGTCATTGTCACTCCGAGGACCTAAACCTGCAGGGATGCAGATTTGCCTCCATCCTGTGCCACCAGGGAAGGCTTCACATGCTCTCGGGGCAGTCTGCGCGGTCACCATCCCTGCCCCCCCCCCATGTGCTGCCCTAAGGAAAGACCCCCCCTGGGGGGCCGGCTGCCTGCCATTCTTGCCAGCCTTCTCCTCCCATTTCGGTCTCACCATCCTGGGTCAGCACCCAGGTTAAGTGGGACGATGCCAGTGTGGGCGGGAGGAGAGAGCTGGGCTCTGGTTGCGGGCCTTGCGGAAGGTCCAGCCTTGGGCCCGAGCAAGACAGCTCAGTCCCCATGCTGCTGGAACACCAGGAATTCCTAAGAATTCCCAGGAATATTTACAAACTGCATCAGCTTGGACTTTCTGCATGTGTGTTACCAAAAGCCTTACCCAAGAAAAGAACCTGGGGAACAAGGAAAGGAATTTATTGACGGACGTGCTGAGCGGTCCGGGGGAGTGACGGCTTCAGGCCTGGCTGGACCCAGGGCTTGTGCCATGTCGTTGGAACTTGTTTCTCTCTTCCCCTGACCCTGTCTCTGTGCGCTGGCTTCCTCTTGTGACTGCAGTCTTGCCAACTCCCAAGTGCAGATCCAGCAGGAGATTAGCACATGTGCCTTCCCCGTTTCTTCAGTACAGGCCCTGGATTAGCTCAGTTGGGTCATATGCCCATTTCTGAACCAGTTAGCTACTGCCCCGAGGTCCTCCAAAGAGGGCCACGGGGTGTTATCAGAATCAGGAAAAATAGATGGTGAGTTCTCCAAACAGGAACGGCCGCTGCACACACCCTCGGGCCCTGGCCCGGGCCCAGCCTCTGGACGATGGCTCCTTGGATCCAAGTCCACGTTTCCTGTCAATGCTACTGCAGGCCCTGGGCCTGCAAAGCACGTGCACAGACCTTTCCTCGACTTCCCACAGTGACAGCAGCACCCAGGGACGTATTAATAAGACGCCAGGCTTGGGCCGAGGGAAGGGAACAAGGGCACACGCCCTCTCTCCCCGAAGGCTGCCGCCATCTTTGTATCTCCCACCCCCGGAATCCAGAAACTCTCCCGCAGGCTCGGGGACAGAATAACCCCCTCTCCCTCACCCCACCGAGGGCCACTTTTCTGTGACGTAAAGTCACTCGACATAAAGACAACCTTTTAACCACGATGCAAAGCCACATCCTGCTTGCCGTCCGGGGTCCTTCCAGAAGAGAGTCTTGGCCTTGTGGACCCAAATCCCAGTGCTATGGTCTGAATGTTTGCATCCCCCCAAAATTCATATGGGAAATTCTAACCCCCCCATGTGATGGTGTCAGGGGGTATGGCCTCTGGGAGGTCATGGGGGCCTGAGGGTGGAGCCCCACGAATGGGATCACTGTCCTTATAACAGATGCCCCAGGCAGCCCCTGGCCCCTGTGCCACGTGAGGACCCAGCAAGAAGTCTCTGACCCGACGTGGAAGAGGCCCCTCCCCCAACCTGCCCGCACCTGGTCTTGACTTCCGGCCTCCAGAGCTGTGAGCAGTGCCCTCTTGCTTATGTGTCACCAGGTCTGTGGCGTCAATATTTTGTTACAGCAGCCCGCACGTACGTACTAAGACCCCCGTGAAGGTGTTTCTCCTAAAACTAAGGGAAAGTTTACGCTTCAAGGAGAATTCAGTCCTTCACCTTCGGGAGAATCTGGAAAGAAAACAGAACAGCCGTAGAAGCTGTTCTTCGAGCCGACGTGGCCCAGGTATGCTGATGAGGACAGTTTTGAGGACGGCCGGCGAGTGGATGGGTGCATCCCGTGTGGGCAGCCCTCCCTGAACCTGTGGGTCTCATCCCAGCGTTTGGCCCTCGTGGGTGGTGACACGGATGAGCTCAAGAGGACGTGGCCGTGGGTTCTGCCGCCTAGGGGTGACAGTGCTGTCACCTTCTGGGATGGTTGTCACCCAGGGTGATGGCCAGGCCCCTCGGTGCAGGTGTCGGCACCCCACGGGTGTCCCCCGGGGGGACGTGCACCTTGCTGACACCCTGGGGAGGAGACATCCTCCTGTCTGCCGCCCCCCTCCCCAGCCACACGCACCCTCCTGAGGCCGCGGCTCCTGCACCACGTGTGCTGGGAGTGGGGTGGAGGGCTTCTGCTCCAGGGAAGGGAGATGGAGGGAGCGTGGACACTCAGGACGGCCAGTCGTGGGGTCAGTGGCAGGGTCCTGAGCATTGTCCTGCGAGAGCCTCCTGCACTCAGGGACCCCAGGACCCTGGCCGCTGGTCATCAGGTATAGGGTAGCGTCCCCCACTTATAAGGTAGTGTCCCCCAGCTGTAGGAAGTGTCCCCCCTGCTATAGGGAGTGTCCCCCCAGTTAAAAGGTAGTCACCAGAGCTTGGCTGGTAAGAAGCTATGGGTTCCTGTCTGCAGCTCCAGCTCGTCGTGGGGGGTCCTGGCTCTTTTCTGAGACCCAAACATAGACAAGCCCGCCCACCCCAGCTCCTGGAGAGGGCAGTGGAGCCTCATGTCAAACCCAGAGCTAACTCGGAGTCTCCTGGGGTCGCTCCTGAGAGCAAAGACACACCAGCACCTTCCTCTCGGTTGGACGGTCGTTCACGCTTCGGCTGAAACCTTTCACTCAACAACCAAAGCAGCCTGGGGGCCACACGGAGACCTGAGTGTCACTGCAGCGTGAGCCACTGACGCAGCCGAACCCGCACCAGCTGACGGTGCCCACCCGCCCGCCCCGGACAGCACTGGTCAACAAACCTTTATTTCACTGGAATGCTAACGACAGAAGGAGAGAGTTTTTAGAGAGAGAGTACATTCCACGAGGTCAATCCATTAAAAGTCAAGGAAGAAAAAAATAAAACACTGTATTCAGACCCTAGAACATGCCGGAAAAATGGGCGAAGGACAAGGGTGCGTCATTTCCAAGGACCAGTCTACATCCGAAAGGAGTTTAGCGGCGTTTGGTATCCAAAACTGAAAATAAGCAGAATTTTAACAGTAAGTCAGAGGTTAACGTCGACTTTCTGAGGTTGGTGAGTGTGAGTTCACAAACTTTCTGAAGGATAATTTAACAGGTTTCAAAAGGCTCAGGTGGTGCATTTGGTTTCATATACACACACACACAAAAATTCTGCTTCTGGGGCTTCCCTGGTGGCACAGTGGTTGAGAGTCCGCCTGCCCATGCAGGGGACGCGGGTTCATGCCCCGGTCCGGGAAGATCCCACATGCCGCGGAGCGGCTGGGCCCGTGAGCCATGGCCGCTGAGCCTGAGCGTCCGGAGCCTGTGCTCCGCAACGGGAGAGGCCGCAACAGTGAGAGCCCCGCGTACCGCAAAAAAACAAACAAACAAACAAAAACTTCTGCTTGTGGCTATTTGTCCTCGTTTTTCACAAAGAGGAGGCTGGGAAGGGAACTATTTGGGGGTGCTGACTTGGGGAGCTCTGTGCCGCTGGCAGCGAGGCATAGGAGATGGTAGGGACTGTGCCCCAGAGACACGGATCCACTGGGAGCCCCCCATCCTTCAGAGGTCCACCCTCTCCACCTTGCTAGTCAGGGGCACCTTCCCACCCTCATCATCCTCTGTTTCCTCGCCCAGGGCTCTGTGGAGGACCAGCTTGAGGGGCTCCCTCAGCCGCTGTCTCTGAAGGCCCCCAGTGAAAAAGTAAAGAGCAGCGTTAGCCGTGCTGTTGATGCAGGATGGGAGGATGCGGGCGCACGTCAGCTACGAGGAACCTGACGACGCAGAGGCGCAGGCCGGAGAAAGAAGCCCGGAGCCGAGAACAGAAGGACCAGGTAGAGCTTTGGGGCCAGTGCTGCTGGGAGCCCGCCTGGACTTGGGGAGCAACAGCTCACTGGACACGCCCAGGATGGAGAACAGCAGGAAACCCCACGTGGTGGTGGCGGTCATACGTGCAGGACAGAGCTTTGTCCTTGGGATGAATAACTGACCACAGGCACAACCTCTCAGTATATTAACCGGAAAGATCAGAGCCCCGAGCAGGGCGCTCACATTGCCTCACGTTGCCTGACAGGTGACGTTGCCTGACGTCACCAATACCAAACAGGGAAGAAGGAGGACAGACAGCGCTGGAAGCTGATGGCAGTCATGATGCCCAGGCCAGTGAAATAGAAGAAGAACCGCAGGACCATAAAGGTGTCATGCAGGTGAAAGGAATAGTGAAGGAAAAGCTTCCGGATTTGGAAGTCTCTAGTTGCAAATTTGTACCATTACACAATGTACACCCAATTCCTCCAGCCCCTGGTAGACACCATTGTACTGTTTTCTGAGTTTAATCTGAGCCTTTATTGAGCCGTGGCTGCTGCAGCGGCCCATCCACCGTCTCCCAACCTTGCTCCCTCCAAGGCCCTGGCAACCAGCCACACTGTTTGCTCAAGAGCTCACATACCTCCTTATTTCAGATCACTTCTCCCTCCATGCTTGCAGTTCCATCCTCCCCACTGTCCTTTAGGTGTACTCCTTAGTGGGACCACGGGGT